AGAAGAAACGGACATAAATAGTAGAGAAATCTGTAGTTTTTTTGTTTGTTTTTTTATGCTAAAACTATAAAAACATATCTCCGATCTAGCATGTCCTAAGAAAAAATAACTGGACTCGCGATTATTTCTTTGGAAAACGAAATATTTGCATAGACGCCGGAACTTACGAAATATTGAGGGAGGGGCGAAGATTAGTGCATAATGATAAGAGCGTTTAATGCATGGAACGGGAAAGGAGAATATAAAGCCATACACGAAGGAGCAGATCAGGAATCAGTTTATCACCTGTATTATAATATAATGTATTATTTATCAAAAGTGATATATGTATATATATATATATATATATATATGTCATATTTCGTTAATTCTTTATCAAATACAATGATTGAACCATTATTTTTAAGATTATCTTCTACAAGTTTAGAGAAATAAGCAATAAGTTGACAGCTAATATTTTGTAGACGTTTTGGTTTATTATTTAGAAAGAACCGTTGTAATCTACCAAGGTTAAAAAAAATTAATTGATTTTTTTTTATCATATATGAAATTTACAACTGTACATTTAAAATATATTCAGCAAATGTGATATAGATAAATACATGACATGATAAGGCTTGTAGAGAATCTACCCATTGGTAGCACTCTTAATAAAATTTCAAAATTAGGAGATCACGAGGCCATCTTCTTTTTAGACGCCTAGGAGGGTTATCAGGAATCGAGGCGGAAGTAAGGTTAGAAACGAGAGGATTAGGATAGTTCTGAAGTTTATTATGGAAGGATAGGTATCTGGATTGGGCCAAATCGGAAACATATGGAACATTCAGGTCATTTTGGATTATTTTATTTGTTACAAAGTAAACATCATTAAGGTTTTCACGAATGATTGTGGATTGTAAAAATTGGATACGAGAGGAATTCGATGGTTTCGTGGAGCCCCAAAGTTCACGAAATAGGCCTTATTATAGTCATGTATATAAGTATTTTGTAATTAATCAATAGGTTAGAGCGTAATGGAAATTTAATTTTAAATTTATAAAAAATATGTAATTTAATTTTATAAAATACCCATTTTTTTTTAAACATATTTATAGTATACACAAATAAAAAAAATTCATTTATATCAGATAAAAAGCAAGGAAACCATTAAATCCGATGAAAAATAATGGAACTAAGGGATTATAACCAAAAAGATCGATGAATTAATACACAGGACTTTGCTACGTACTGTAGGGCCCGTTTAAATAGAGTTATACACAATTCATTATATTTATATGGCACAATATGAGACTCCGGTGACTTTAGTATAATGGATAATTTGTATATAGTAACAAGATCAAAAGTCCAACAATGATTAATTGAGAAGAATCAGTGAAAATAAACATTCATATTCTTCTGAGTTTCTTCAAAGGCTTTCTTTAAATTTCGGAAATGTAAATAATTATTTAATGAATATTAGAAATTAACTCTCTCTAAATAAATAAATAAAGTAAAACTAAGAAAAAGATTACAAAAGAAAGTAAAGAATACCTAAAAAATGAGATATAATTTCAATATTCAACTCATTATGATCTAATATTGGTTTTCTTTTTTAAAATATATTATTGTTTTTTTTAAACTCTTTTATCTATTTTCATTACTTCTAATCATATTATATAATTGAATATTAGCAAACTCATAAGCTTGGTAGAAATAAATAAACACAATGACATTGCAATATTATGCTGCAATTGAGATAGCTGATTTTCACTTTTTTTTTTTTATTCTAAAGATGTATTTTGTTAATATCTGAGTCTTGAAGGAAAACTGCATTATGTCATATTAATCAACTTTTTCGGTAGAGCAGCTTGAATGGAGTAGAAATCCTTTCATAATTACCTGCTTCAGGGTAAACAATTTTTAACAATTATCTTTTCACAAATTATGTACGTGATATAACGTTGAAGATACAATTTTTGTCGAAGAATTGGTCTGTTTTATAGATTTTTATTAAATATTGGCATACCCAGAAGTATGTGCTGCCTTCTACCTCAAGAAATTGAAAAATGTCATTAGAGTGATTTTTATTTTTACACCATAATTAATAGAATCTCTCATGATCGTTAGAAACTGAAATTTTTTGGTAATTATGGACGTTTAAGGAAACTCGACCAAATTTGTTTCACTGCGAAGCTTTGAAAATTGATCAAAAACCTTCTGTTACATGTCTACATAAATATTAAATAAACAGTAGCTGTCATCATTTCTTTAATACACATTGGAATTAATATTTATGAATACTTGAGAATGGTGAGAATAATGTTAATATGATCTACGATAAGGAATAATTCATATTGTAGCTGTGTTCCGATTTCAAAAAAAAAAGAAGGAAAATATGCTATTCTTTAAATTGAGTCGGGTCAAAGTGTTTTAGACGATATTTTGTCGATAAAAGTTATAAAATGTACCACTACATTTACATTTACAAACATTTACGAATTGTAACCATTTACAATTTAATTGACTCAAACATTTGTAAATTATATGGTCGTTTGAATAGGAATTTTTTAACAGTATTTAATAGAATGTTACGTTCTAACCGTACCAACGATTTTGGGCGAAAAATCAATTTCGGCTATAGGTACGAATCATCAATTTCGCCAGAACCTCTTATAACAGCAACAGGATTCTTGTAAAGAAAGTTTGAAGATGAGCCTAAAACTTTTCTATGGTTTCGTTACTAAAAAATCGACTGACAAAATTCATGAAGGCGTTCTGGAATCTTACAATAAAAATATCTTATCTTGTCTACATCAAAAATAGCTGTATCATTGTATTAAATGAACTGTTCGCTGTGAGGATTTATTTTATTAACGAATTTGGCATCAATTAAAGAAATCAGGATTAAAAAAATTAATCGTTTTGGTTTAAAGATTAATTGATGTCTGAAGACGTCTGATTATGTCTTCAGCCTTAACATAATTTTAAATTAGATAATCAACCACAGCTAAAACCTCTACAACTGTGCTGATAATTCGATATTATCTTTACAAATTCATCGAAATTAAGCGTGGTAAAAAATCTTCATTTAAAACAGTTAAACTCATCCCGATTTCTTTATTTTAATAAGAAAGTATAAAATCCAGGAGTGCATTTCATTTTGGAGAGCTTAATCTGAATTTGAAATTTTTAAATAAAATTTCGTTCCGTGTTCAGCTATATGAGCAAAATACAACATATTTTCGACCTTTTTTTCTAGTTGGCGATGGCACCGAAACTATGAATTTTATCGAAAATACTACAATATATAAAGTTAAAGTTAATAAAATTGACCATAAATTGTATATGTAGTTTTTTTGAGGTAGGATCAACGCGTGAGGAGTTAAAACTAGTCCACTATTTGTGTGTTTCTTCTAGAAATAGTTGCCTTCGTCAGTATTTCCGTAATATCTTATAATCTACGCTTTTTTTGAATAAATGTATTATGTTCAAATTGAAAGATCGTCAAGTTTTCAATAAGTTTTATGTAGAGTTGTTAAAATACGAGTAGGTGAGTGGTCGTTAAAGCGCATGGACATGGAAGTGTATTTCGATCTGCCGTTCTCTTGTTAAATACTCTTAATCTTTACCAATCTTTTGATTGGATTTGATAGATTACAAGGGGATATATCCCACCGATTTCGGCAGATATCATCTGCACATTCTGAGAGGTTTAGAAATAAAATTCAATTCCTGCACTCAGTGGATTTATTCTTGCTATCTTGTACCATACTTGTTTTGAACCTGCGCTCAGCCTAACCAACTCGATAATCCTATCTGCAACAAGTTTCATTAATTATGAACAGTGATAATAATAACATTATTATAGTTTTTATGAACAATAAAATCTCATCTATTCACTACAAATGTTTTAATCATGTCTAAATATAATGCTATCAACACCTATTGGTTAAAACACAGATATTGGATTATGTGATTACAAGATAATTCGAAGGTAGGATATGAGTTTACTTTTGATCCAATTTTTCCTCAATCACTTTTTAATAAGAATATTCATATCTTTTATTACGTTTTAAGGTATCTTCAGGTCAGTCTCTATATTTATTTTCCAACGTTTCGTCTACTTATTTATTTATACATCCGTTACATATCAAAATAAACCTCAAATATTTTCCTCTATACCTAAAATTGTGTTCAATTTAAGAAAACTGTTTACAGTGAAGAGTCATAATGCCTTGCCTTCATTTTGGGTTTTTGTTAAGTTTATAACAGCAGCTTTATATATGAAGGAGACTCCACAAGAGAGATATAGTTTTATTTTGTATGCAGGTTATACATAAACAAAAAATGAAATATAGGGAGCCATCTTTTATTGTTTCAGTAAACTAGAGCCATCGCCCGTGGGAAAATGGGTAATCGTGGATTTTACATTTCTTTATTAAAATAAAGAAAACAGGAAGAGTTTAATAGCTTTATATGAAGTGTTTTTACCACGTTTAACGTCGATGTTTTTTCATGGATGTTTTTTCATTTAAAATTTACTTATTATTTAAGACTGTGTTTCACAACTATGTTAAAGCTGAGACACGACTGGAATCTTCAGTTTCACTTTGATAAAGCTGTGAAAAACATATTCCTTTTAACTATCTTACATATTTCTTTGTTCAAATAAACTATTAACATTTTAATTTGTTTCAAGTGAGGGAAAGGGATGCCTTCTCTACCGAATTTCTTCACCGACAAACTTAATTTTTTTGGTAATGATTCTGTAAACTCAATGATTATTGTTTTTACCATTTACCTTCGCTTTTTACCATTACCCTACTATTGAACGTATGAAACGAATACATTTGAATAAAGTTAGCATTTATTATGAAGGAATTCTTGAATGATTGATACATTTATTTGTCTATAGTCCGAACATTATAAATTTATTAAGGAATATACCACTCCCTTTTCCAAAGTATGCACCTTAGAAACATATACAATCAAAAGTAATAAGTTTCTTAATTTTTTTTCCAGATGGATTGGGTTTATAAGAAGCTGTGGATTATTAAAGAAAATCTTCTGAATACATTTGCCACCTCATTTGTTCTTGGAATGTTTTATTTTGGTCCACTTGTATCCGTTTTAATTACGACGTCCCTGGTGTTATCACCGCTTTCACCGTTATTGCCGTTTTATTTAATTTGGATGTATCTCGATAGAAAGACTCCTTTTAGGAAAGGCAGGAGGTAATACGTTTTTGTATTAAATTCTATTATTATTGAAATATTCAATTATTTATACAAATGTGTATTTATAAGTTACCACTGATTTCAAATAATGAATAAATTATCTACTTCAGTGAAATGTTCTGATTTCTTCTTTTGAGGAGCAGTTGAGAGAAAAATTTTTGTGTCTTAATATTATTTTAGAGTAGAATAGAATAGAAAAATAATTTTACTCTGGGACGAAGTCCCTTCAGAATAACAAAAATGTACAGAAATTAAAATTTTATATCTGGCCAGATAAAAACAAACATAAAAAGTTAAGATAAAGATAGATCATTAAAAAAAACAAAAAAAAAATATTGGTTATACATACTATATACAAAATAAAATAAAACAATCTATATAAAAAATCTTGAAACCATACTAAGATACTTAAAACTATGTACAATGTTAAAATATAAATAGACCCTTTTAGAAAAAATAAAAAATACAGAAAAAATAAATGTAAATTCTTCTTAAAAGTAAAATCTGTTTCTGTTGAAAAAAAAAAAAAGAAAAAAAGAAAGTCGAATCTATAATAAGTATTTAGGTTATGAGCTATATGTGAATATGTTATTATAGATAATATGTAATTTTACATAAAAGTTTAGGTGGTATCTGACTATTTTTGGGACAGGAATTGGAATAGGAGAGTTTTGAATGTAGATAAGGATGAAGAATGTCGAATTTTGATAGGAAGGGAATTCCAGAAACTAACAGAACGAGCAATAAAGGAGTTTTGGAAAGAGGCAGATCTGTGAGAAGGAATGTAAAGGTCGGAAGGTCGAGATCATGTGAAGAGGGAGTGGACTGAGGACTTGAATTGGTGAAGGTTGTAGGCGTAGGAAGGACGATGATTGTTGATGATATGATAGAGGAATTTTATTGCATTTTTCAAATATATTTTGTTCTCGAAAAGTAAGACGGGCTGCTGCCAGTCCCAAAGTTGTTTGAAAACGCTTGATTAGCATTCACGTTCACAATCCAAGTGGACGAAAAAGATCGGACGATGCCGGATCACAAGCTATTCTTCTTCAATGGCAAGACTCAGTGCCGGCCTTAGACATTCGGCGCCCTCAGATAATGACGTCATTTCCCCCTCCTTCTAAAAAAATATAATTTATTTCTTAAGCTGTTTTATATTATCTCATATTTCAAATTTATTCCATTCAATATTTCTCTAATACTGATTGATAGGCTACAGCTAATTATTTTAATAAATTTGTATATTTTTTAAAATTTTAACAAATGGCGAGCGCCCCTTAACATCGGTCGGCACCCCCACAGGCGCCTCGGGGCAATTGCTCCGGTTGCTTCCTAAGGCCAAACTGGCAAGATTGGTAGGGGAGGTTCACCCTATAACAAAGAACATAGAAGGGCAGAGGATACGTCCAAATGAGGTGGTAAGGACCCAGGCATTAGATTTTGCTTAAAGTGACAATTCACTTGAAATACCTGGTTGGTGGAGTACCCACTCTATGTCGTGTGCTCGAAGTCATGTGGAAAAGCTCAGTTCTAGGGCCTTAGGCATTGTGCTACATAACTATTTATAAAGGATTTATGGAGGGTATAATAAGGCATGCGTCTCGTTTCTTGTTTCAGAATTTCACAGAGACAGAGAAACAGACTGGCATCGACTCAGAGTATGTCTCTGCTTCGGGTCACCGAACATGTAGGTCTACATCACATGGAGCAGTGCAGGTCCTAGCGGGGACGGTGCCTCTCGAACTTCTATTGCTAGAAGATGTGACCTAGTATGCTTACAAGGGGGAAGGCTCAACAGGAATCTGCGGATAAGGATTATTGAAAACGCAAAGAAATGGAAAGAAAATAATTCGGCAGGATATTGAGGAAAGGTTAGAATAACGTTTGGGTTTTAAATAAATAAATAAATAATGAGGAAAGGATCCGGTGATGGGTGATGATCTCGAAAGATAGTACCTTCCCCACCGTCCAGTCTCGGCTACAAGCGTCATGGGGCCTCAGGGCTGAGCAATTGCCCCGGGGCTCTGAACTGGAGAAGGGCGCTCGCCACTTGTTATATATTAAACAAAAAGTTACAAAGTGTATGCTGAATAATTATAGCCTATTAGCTAAGTGCCTGAATTAGAGACATGTTGGATTAAATAAAATTGAAATATTACTTCATAAAAAACAGGTTAAGTAATAAATTAAATTATAACTGGTGGGAGATGACGTCATTGCCCGACGCGCCACAAAGTCGGCAATGGTCACGACCTGCAATGCATTCGATGGATTCAGGGCCACAATGATGAGAATTGCGAAAGTTTATGTCTTCTGCGAGAACTTGCCGTGGTTCAAGGAATTCATGCGTGAATGAAAGACAGCTGTGGATACAGCTTCTGGGGGCTGGGTGGCCGAATAGGCTAAAGCGTGTGTAACAGCACCGCTAGTTGCCTGGCAACCGGATAACAGAGTTTTGAGATGATATAAAAAGTACGAGTTCGCGTCCCGGTGCCGGAGGGGAATTTTAAATTCCCCGCCCTCACCCCCCGGCCCGGGAAAATCCCGTATAGCCTAAAAGGCGAGGTAGGGAAGAACAAAAAAAAAAAAAAAAAAAAGCTGTGGATCCAGCTCACCTCAACATTGGTATTCAAAGAAGAGGATCAGTGCCGGTAAATTCCACCGGATTTTATAGGTCTCGTACTTCACTAGAACAGATAATACAGCTGAGGTGAGAGGTGGACTCATTTCTGCAATGCAACGGTTTTACATTTAAAGTGTGCTAAAGGAGCGTTTTAATCTATGGTTTGATACAGAGTATGACAGAACAATGTAGTACATACATATTTCATAGATTTGTGTGAAACTTTTAATGATTTGCGATAAATTTATTTTTAAAGCTACGATTTTAAGAAGCTAGACGTAAATCCGTTCTTTAGATATTTGTTTATAATGTTAATATTTATATATTAATTCGCAAAGATCTTTATTGTCGACACGTCATAATTTCGAAGATTATCTTCTCATTTATAACCCAAAAATAAACACACCAAAGAAAACTTTATTTACGCATAATTGAAAAAAATATATAATTTATCTAGTTTGTAAATTACTTGCAAAAGGGAAAAAGTACTAATTTAAATCATACTATTATTAGCAAAGATATAGCCTATTATCGAAATTTTGATACATGTTTTTTTTGTTTTTTTATGGTTATATTTTCAATAATGAAACACTGTTAATCGACCGAAATAAAAAAAATGATCCTCCCTATCACAATACGTTGCATCTACTCATCTCCATATTACATTACTGTTTGTTCACTGACAATGTACCATGCGAATTATTCGCACGAAACAACTAGTAAATGATAATTAGTATTAATAATAATTTAAATTTATTATTGAGTCTAACGTTAATCAAGTTATTACCATATAATTTTCACACTCGTAAACACTTCATTAAATATTTTTGTCAGGATGCACTTCTTCATATATTGTCTTCTAAAAATAGTTTTTTAAAAAATTGCAGTACCACAATGTATATGTGGTTGTCGAGCTTAAAATAAATGTTAAAGGTTTCCAAGGTAACTCCTTATAGTTCTGATGGAATGTTTCCACTCAATATTATTAGGAAAGTAGAAATTACCTCATTCTTCATGAGTTTATATGCGAAATATTACTTTCCTACCTCTGGGTAATAGAAGATTTGTAATTGGGTCATTTTTTTTCTCTTAAATATAACGGTGTAATATTGCTGCATATTGCCACACTTATTTTATAAAAAACAACTTGTCGCGTTTTTTAACCTGAAAATTTTTTTCTTATTTTCTCTCCTTTAGTTAGTTATAAAAAAATGTATAGTTTAGTTCTATCTAAATTTTCGGGTTCTGTCTAAGACATTTGAACTCAATAAATATTGCGCAGCGTTTCCTCCCACAAACAGCATAGCGGGTATTGGACTCTTTACTCTTTACCTACGGACGAAGCCTTTAGGTTAATATTCTTTGTTTCCCTGAGTTTTATTTTTTAATTTAAAAATAAAATTAACCGGCTATTGCCAAATTCCGCTCTGAACAATAAGCCATATCATTGTTTTCTAGTTATTGAATCTGAGAAAAATAATTCCAAAAGAACGTTCTAAGCCAACCTATTGGGTGTCCACCGTTTTTTGTTGTAATTCGATCTCCGAATCTAGAAAGTATCCGTATTGAAATAAGAGCTGTTACCGCAAGATATATCAGGTGCCCAAACCAGTATGTGAAAAGATATCTTTGAAATTACCCATTGGTTTTCATGTCCACCGGCAGCGAAATATCTCCTCGAAAGGAAACAAATAGAAGCTAAGAGAGTATGGATTACGTTATGAATGTCTTTTGTCTACTTCAAACCAGGGCATTATAGAAGATGAAATATGCAGAGTGGTACAAGAGACATATTGGTCAACTAATTTCTTAGGCGTAGTATTGATACGTATTGTGAACAGCTAATAGTTCAGTGATGTAACATAGCTGGATTTTTCGATTTTAAAGAGGCTTAGATAAAATATTGTTCAACATAGTTTAAGACATCATTCGTCAATTAAAATTGATCAAGTAGGCATTACGTTCATCAATATGGCACTAATACAAGCGTTTGCTGGTAATTTATTTCAGTAATTTAAATTAAAACTGCTATTTCTATAAAAAGTCTGGATGGTGAACAACGAAGTATGGTTTTCTATGCAAGAAAAAACAATGGTCAGAAGAAGGAAACCACTTGCATAGAAACATAGCCGCTGTTGTTGGTTACTATATATCAGTTGTAATAAAATATTTTGTATATATTGCTATCTGCTGAGTTTTATGGAGCAAGTTCCGCCATCAAAATCTTTGAGGCGGCACATTTCGAAAGAATTATTAATTTTCGAATTGGAAAGTTTCAAACCAGGGCACAAGAGGAAAGCATAGAACAGACCACTGAAAGTGTAATTGTGTATGATCTACAATTTTTAAAATTCTACTTCACTTACCATGTAAGTGTAGTAGTGTAGTATTAGTAGTAGTGTAAGTGTAATTCTTCTACCTCTTTTTAAGAAGAGGAGAGCAATAAAATATTTTTGGGAGGGGAGAGGAGATGTTCATGCTTCATAGATCTTGTGTGAGATGGGTACTCCTGACATTAGCAGTCTCTTTTCTTTCAGTTATGCATATTTTTGTATAATGTTTGAATGAAATTACTAATATGCTTTCGTCTTACATATGCTAGCAGAATGGGCAGTAATGACATAATTAGAAACACTCGACGAAAGAATAAATAAAACGAACGAAATCATTCTTCCAGTTCGTAATCCCAGCCGAACGAGAAATTGTATCATCTCGAAATATTGATTTTATAGTGTATTGTGTAAGAAATTTCTTTTAGAATCCTAAATTCCCAAATGGATTATAGTTCAAATCATAGCAATTCTCAAATTTACCAAGAAATATCTAATTTCTTTAAGTTGGACAGCTTAAGTATAATTTATATATAATTTAATATTTTCAATTACATTTTGTAAAAGTATATCGAATGTTTTATGTAGGATGGGATTGCTGAGATCTGCTAAGTTGCACCAACGTTTCAGAGACTACTTTCCAATGAGCCTCATCAAAACAGCTGACATCCCACCAACCAAAAACTATATTTTCTGCTGCTTCCCTCATGGAATCCTCGGTGTTGGAGTGCACGGAGAATTTTCTGGAGAAAATCCTCAATTCCAAAAACTTTTCCCAGGAATAAACCCGTTATGCCATACTTTGGATTCTAATTTCTACTACCCTTTCTCCAGAGAATATGTGATATCAATGGGTGAGATTATAAAGTCTTAATTTATTTACTATCCAATCACTAAATAAGTATTTTTTTTTTATCTGCTTTATGAAGTTTAGAATCAGTGTTCACTCTTAGTAATAGGTGTAGAGAGTAAATATTTGTCTGGTAGCTCTTTTATCTAAAAATAAAATTATCAGCTTTGGATCGATCATGGGAACGGGAGACCCTTCTGGGGCACACCAAGGCTCTATAAAGTGATTACTCTTAATTAAATAGTTCAGAGGGAAAACCTGGTTGAGGGTGAACCCGATTATTCTCCTATACTCGTCGCTCACAAGTACCGAAAATAACAACAAAACCTACGGGATATGCCCCAGAAACAATTTTATTATTATCACACAATTTTTATGTAATCGTGAGTGAAGAAGTAAAACCTTTCAATCACTAAGGGAGCCCAAAATTAATATGCAATAAACCTAACGAAAATCACCATATCTTTCTATTGTATCTTCCAAATTCAGTAGTATAAATCTATGGTCTCTGACCATAACTAGTTAAGTCGAAAAATGGTCCTTTCGAGTTCTGTAAATTGAGATCATCTTCCAATTCTTCTAAACATCTTGAAGAAGTTAATAAATTTATTGTTCTCGTCAAGACCGTTAAACCCCTGGGGGCGGGGAGGGGGAAGCTTCAGCCTCTCGATTAGAATCTCGACCTTCTCACTCACGCAAGAATAAGTTCGTCACCTGTGAGAAAGCTCCGTTGTATGTAGTTTGTAAAGTTAGAGTACATATTATTTCACTCCTGTAACCACTTAAAATTCTATCTTCTTCTTCTTCTTCTTTATCATCCTCCTTAGTGCCTCTCGGCGATCCCCAGCCAGCACCTTCATTGAAATCATGGATTTCTTTTCATCAATCCTGGAGATGTGGTGAATCCATAGCAATCTAGAAAACATCTTTGATCACGGTCCCCATCCATTCTGCGTAGATGACCAAACCATCTCGACTGCCTCTTTTCGACTATTTCCCTCAAAGGTGGCACTCCCAGGTCTCCTTGTATCCTTTCATTCCTAATTCTGTCTCTCTTTGTTTTGCCTGCTATTCTCCGGAGGTACTTTATTTCTGCAGCAGTAACTCTACTCCAGTGCCTGTCCAGCGGGGCCAGCTCTTACTTCCATAAATAAAGACAGGTAAGTATATGAACTTGAAGATATGCAATTTTATACTTTTTTCCTATTTCCTTTTCTCCACCACTGTGCTGCATAGCTGGTAGTAAGCATATTTTGTTAGCTTTCTTTCTCCTGTTTGAGAGCTCTTGGTCTATTTTTCCGTTTCTGCTGAGCACTAATATGAGATAAGTGTAGTCCTGGGCTGTCTCCAAGGTTTCTCCTCCGCAGCGAACCAAAACTTCCTCCTCTTCACGACCAATGTGCATCGCCTTGCTCTTTCCAACATTTACTATCATGCCCTTTATTTCAAGCTCAGCCTCCCACTCAGTAACTGCCTGCTGTAGATTTTCTTTGTATTCAGCAATGAGAACAATATCATCTCCGATAACCATCACTTGAGCTAGGATTGTCCTCATGTTCCACCTTCCCACGAAGGTCAGTGTTGTCCTCCGCTTGCATATTGTCAATATTTCATCTAAAATTTTATTCTGCTCTTAAATTTACCTATTTTTGAGTTATACAATTATATGTTGTAAATTATAACGAATATTTCCTATCTTAACTATAGCCATAAATTGTCAATTTATTATTATTAGTATAGGATACCGATCGGTCTCCAAGGAAGCATTGTTGAATAACTTGACGAAAGGTCCAGGAAATGCCTCAGTTATAGTAGTCGGAGGATCAGCTGAAGCTATGCACTGTAAAACTGGAGAGCATAGAGTTATTTTACGCAACAGGAAAGGATTCGTTAAACTGGCCATCACTTGTGGGTAAAATTCTTTTTACGAATAATGTTTTCCTAGTTTTGTTTGAAAGTAAGATGATATCTTTACATAGCCTGTCTAATTGAAGGCTTACTTTTAAAATCTCGTAAGGCCGATTCACTAAAATAGTTAAGTCTTGTAAATAACCAATGATCATTCGTATTTATAATGTGTGTTGTTAAGTTTTTAACAATATAACGTACTAGTTGACATACAACAGGAAAAATGAAAACTTTATATTCCACTAACTTAAATATAGTTCTATGTTTCCTCGCTTAATATTTGATGTTACGACGGTCTTGCAAGATTTTAGACGTAACCCATCGATATGTTATGAAGGCTAAACTGAATATACGTATTTAATCACCCGATCCGTTTCTTTCATACAGTATTAGTTTCATAGTTTTGTAAATGACCAACGTTAAAATAACCAACTGTAACTTACATAAAGTATTTTTTATGTCCTGTTAAATTAAAAAATATAAGGAAGTTTATATAAATCATATTTTTTTTTTTCTGAAAAGCGATGGCTATAAACGCAAGCGAAAGTCGCAGGTGCCAATAACATAATACCAAGCGTACTTAATACTTAAAAAAAAATTGTAATACCTATTAAAGACACTTGGTCTTACGTTATTAAAATTAAATTCATTTATTATGTAGTTACATGGTTGGATTTAATTGAAATTAGTTAATTGAAACTGATAATTTGCTTGAAATTATTTGAAAGTTAGCGCTTCTTTTTGTAGTTACATATATATATATATATAATGATCAAGTACATATATCTGGATCAGCTATTTATCCCATTGAAGAGAAGAATAGTTGGGGTGCTCAATCAAAAAGGAAGGTAAAAAATAAATTATAATATTTATTTCTTACATATGCCGACGTTTCAACCTGAAGTTCAGGCCTTCATCAGGGCTTTCTCCTTAAGTGTCAAGGGGAGAATGAAGTGTCATGAATTAAGTGTCATTCTCCCCTTGACACTTAAGGAGAAAGCCCTGATGAAGGCCTGAACTTCAGGTCGAAACGTCGGCATATGTAAGAAATAAATATTATAATTTATTTTTTGCCTTCCTTTTTGACTGAGCACCCCAACTATTCTTCTCTTCATTATCCACGACAGTCAACCAATTACCAATTATGGATATTTATCCCATTTTTCTATCGTTTTCATATTAACAAAAATACTTATGTTAATACTATGGTTACTATATACAGTAAGTGGTTACTATAGACAGTAAGTATTTTTGTTAATATGAAAACGATAGAAAAATGGGATAAATAGCTGATCCAGATATCTGTACTTGATCATTATATATATATATATATATATATATATATATATATATATATATATATATATATATATATATATATATATATGATTTAATTATTTAAAACAAATTTGATATCGCATTTTAGACATAACAAATCTCATATTTTTTCGATCCAGAATCTTATAAAAATTCATTAAAATTAGTGATCCCACGTTTGTAAACTAGCCTTAGGAGTACAAAACTTTTTAAATCGGGTCAAGTAAACCTCTCGAATTGTGAATCATCATTCTCTATTAAATATCGTTTTTGTTTTTTTACTCGTCGTTTGTCAAACTCTATCGTTAGCGCCGGAAAAGAGTTCTGTAGTAGATTCTAATCAAGAATAACTACGTAGGATTAATAAACACTCATAATGTTGAAGTATATCATTATGTATCCTCATAGACAATCGCCAGACATCAGGAGATTGCCAATTTCGAGAGGTGTACTTGACCTTTTTTAAAAATGTTACTATTCATTTGAAACAGAATTTCATTTACTATAAATTTTATTATATGTCATTTTTCCGTTAGAGAACTCATTTTCGAGCTATACTATTCATTTGAAACGGAATTTCATTTACTATAAATTTTATTATATGTCATTTTTCCGTTAGAGAACTCATTTTCGAGCTGTAGAGTCATTTATAATTATATATCTCGCTTTTTAACTATGTTGATAAAAATTGCCTTTGTTAACCCTTTGTTGCCCTTTGGCTTTGGAATAACGGATCAGATTCATTTTACTCAGATTACACAGATTTACTTTTGTATTTTATAAATAATAATTCTCTGTAAATTTTTAAAATATTTCTGATATTTTTTATGCCAGAGCTGATCTTGTGCCTATCTATGCTTTTGGAGAGAACGACCTGTACCACCACTATATGTTTCCTGAGGACAGCATTATTTACAAAATCCAACAAGCCGTAAGATCATTCACTGGTGTAGCTCCTACTCTGGTCAGTGGAAGAGGCCTCTTTCAAAGCATTTTTGGTCTACTCCCTTATAAAAGGCCATTGCATATTGTAGGTATGTGTAATTATTTTTCTAAATTATTTCTTAGAAATATAAAATATGCCAAATTCCTTGTATTTTCTTTTAATGGACTTATGGGTATTTGTGTTTATGTCACTGCAGGCCTAAATTTTAAGATGTTTACAGTTAATTGATGTGCACCACATCGAATTGCATTATTTTCTGAGGTAATTCATTTTTATTTTGACAAAAACTTTGGGGTCAAAAATGAAATTCATTTTGCAGTTAATAGCAAACATCGAAGTTTTATAACTCATTTTCATTGTCATAGAGCAGTATAGCAGTATGATCCAAGGTATTTCACACTTGGATTTATAACCAAAAATAATTTACACTACCTGTGCAAAATGCATGTTGATGCAGAGATCCTCAATTCTACTACAGAGAATTCAGCCCGAATGCTTTTTTTTTTCATATTTTTAACGATATTTAATTTGGGGAAAAAAATAAAGATACTAACTACCTATATGAAATGGTGTTTAAGTGAAGAGATAATTTTAACCATAAAACATGGTTAAATTTTACTATTTTGCGTAGGAGAGGGGACTTCAGCCCGAAAGCCTCCTTCCACCTCCTCCCCTCGTAGATCCGCCTGTTTGGATTAACGCGTTACCTGGCAATCTTATGATTATGAGTTCGAGTTCCAGTGCCCAGAGCCTTTAACTGTGGCATTAATTCTCACCCTCTCTCCTGGTCTGGGAAAAACCCATGCAGCCGAAAAGTAGAGGAAGTGAAGAAAAAAAAATGTAGCTTGCAATGAACAATAAATTATTATAATTATTAATATATGCAGAGTAATAATTTATTTATTTTCAATATGTGTAACCTTATCTTCTTGCCCATTGAATGATAAGGCTCCCACCTCATTATGCCAGTCCGCCATTTTGTTTTTCTGGGAATAAAAATCTTAAGACTAAAAAATTACATTTAGTGATACTTGAAATAAAGAGCATTTTATAGGCTATCAGCTAATTTATTTTCATACATAACCATTTTGTTTCTCAACACCCAGGTTTTCCCCTTCATCAACTATTTAATTAAGATTACTTCATAGAGGCTGAGTGTACCCAGGAAGATCTCCCAATCTCTGAGTTGATTTGAGTTGATTTACTGCATATATAACAGAATAAATAATCTGTCATAGCCAAAACCTAACCCAGAACATAGGGGCACACTCTCTTAATCACTGAACTACCCCATTTCTTATGCCCCATATATGTGTATTACTGTAGTCTGTATTACGGTTATTTGTTTAACAATTCTTATATGTTAGCTTACGGACAGCTGAAAAATTTGTTAAAACATTGGGAAACATTCAAAAGAAATAGTTACTATACAAAAGGCTACTTTAAAAAGTAATAAAAAAGAATTAAAAATCAAAATTGTATTATTAACCTGGTAGTACATCAGGTTGTCCACATGAGAAATTTCTTACATATTTTAATCTTAAAAGTATAAACCTGATGAAAAGTATCAAAACTAAAGAAAAAAAATTGTAATGTGATTAAAAATAGAACTCTTTCAATTGTCTACTTGGAAATGTACAATACAATAAATTATTGTGTAAACAAATACAAGAAATAAAATGAGAAAAGAAAAATCACTTATTTGGTAAAATGTAATCTAACAAACCCCAACTTCAGATCAACAGTCATATTTAATTAAATACAGAATTTTAATAAATTTAGATCATGAACTGAGAAGATTTATATATTTTTAATTAATTAATGTATTTTTTGCATAACTAATATATAATCTTATTTTTAGTTGGAAAACCCATTTCTGTTGAAAAGAAAGAAAATCCAACTAATGAGGAAATCTCAGCGCTTCACATGACATTTACACAAGAACTAGTTAATCTTTTTGATAACTACAAATACAAATATTTACCAAAGCCTGATTCAGTATTCTTAGAAGTCGAATAGGTTTAAATTTAAATAAGTAAAATATATAATCATACTGTGCAATGTAAATAATATCTAGTTTAATGTATTAATGTAATGTATTAAAAATTGTATTAATTAATATTAAATTTTCTATCTTGATATTTTTCAAGGTTCTTAACCTAAATTTTTCAATCCAATGCTCATCATTCAGTTCACAATCTTTAACTTGGTAGTTGCAGTATGTTGAGGCAAAGGATTAAAAAAATAAGTATCAGAAAAACTCGGTGTTGATTTTATTCTGACTTGCGAGATGGTAAAATGTTAGTTTCCAATGAAAATTTATTAATGTTTCTTGTAACTCTAGAAATTCATTCTCACATCCTGGTTAAAAACCACTAGCTCATATGATGTATGTTAAAGCCATTTAATTTTTTTTTAATAATAAACACATTTGTTTTTTGTTTTTTTAATTAAATAAAAACACAGTTTATTTTTTTAAAACTTAATAATACTTTCAGACAGCTTTGTTCTCATGATTTTAATTAGATAATTTTATTACTTTAGTTCTACTAAGTTCTAACTAAATCAGTCAACTCAAGCCTGAGGTGAGCCCCATCACTGATTATATTACAGATGTAGAAAAAATACTCAGAAACAACAACAAAAAAAAAGCAAAATACACCTTACAGTGCTTTTTAGCAATAAAAGGATTATTACAGAAACAAAAAGAAAATCCAAGGATTCAAGACGGACATAAACAAAAAAGCGGCTATGAAAAAAAAAAAAAAAAAAAAAAAACTAAATCAGCAAATTATTAAATGTTAATGTATACATTAACAATATTTAAAAGAAAATATATCAAATTTAAATGTCACATTGGAAATCATGATAATTGTTTGAACAAGATTATTTTTCACAATTTAAGATCTGGAATATTTTTTTAAAAATTAAAATACATCCATACCTATACACATTTTATAATTTGTATAACTATGAAATACTTACAACCTAAGTTAAGAACCACTACTTTATGAATTCTGTTCTTATTTCTTTTATGTATTACACGATATCCATAATCCATATTCTTGTGTGAAAACTATCTTTTTTCTAATGCAAATAAATATTGTACATGATATATAATAACCATATTTCACAAGTTGGTCAACAATGTATTCAAATCAAACTATTTAAAAATAAAAAATTATTAATTTATTAAATTGAAATAAAATATTATATTAAAATATTGCTAATCAGTTTGTAATCAATAGATTAAATATAGATAAAAAGAAAAAATTAAAACATCAGAACCAAGTTTTCAAATAATAATTTTTGTAAAATAAATGAAAGATAATTCTAAACATTTGATGATTACTAGTCTGATAATATCTGTTGGCATAAAGGTGAAGCACCACTTATCTATCAGTTGGTGTAGGAAGGACCCTTGCAGACAGTTGTGATTAGTGAGTAGCTCTCTTTTGCTTTTTAAATTAAATAATTTTCATGTAATGCATTTATTATAATATATACCATTAGGATTTTCACAATTCTTTATTGATTATCATTTCAATTTCCATATTATTTTTATTGTAAATCAGCTAAGATGAAGATAAAATAACTAATTATAAGCAAAATGTAGAAACATAGTGTCAAATATTTTGGAAATTAATTAACTTTTATGTTTTGTTTTTTCTCGATAATAGTAAAACTACAATGATTTCTATCAATGTTCAAACAAACAATTGATATAAAGCAATTTATTTAAAAAACTATTGTATATAATTTTTTAAGATTTGTTTTCAGTACTTTTCCAATGCCAGAAACGAGTTACTGTTTTAATTTATTAATATAGTTATAAGAATTATTATTTCTGGTTTGCTTTGTTAAGTTTAACAGAAAAAATGTTAAATATCCTTATTTTTTTTTAATAGAGACAACTACTTTTGCAATTAATGCCACATTTATGTTGATAGCATTTAAATGTTATTGTTTGTTTTGTTTTTTCAAATTGATCCAGTATCACTTGTAAGCATTAAAATTACATTTTATAAAATTATATTTATTTTCAGATTTTTTTATTTTAACATTTATTTTTAAAAACTGAGTAAGAAATTGTAAGATATGTATGTAGTTGATTTACACAAACAAGGTAAAGAAATTATTGAAAATGTAAAAGTTATAATTTACTAATTAAATATTGTAAAATTCATTTTACTATTTAATACCACTTCTGAAATGTCCTTGAGCCTTAATAGCTCTTGTAACAGTTATTAATTAGATATCTCTTTAGTTCTTCAGACACTTCCATACTGGTGGAAGTATAATAAAGAAGCCAACAGCTTATAACAAGGGTTTACAGACTTTATGGCCAACTGACAACATTACGGTCTCTATTAATTCCTGCGGACCGTGACTTGTGTTGACAAAACACGTCAATATAGAGAATATTGAAAGTCAAACATAGATGTTAGCGATACATCAATATAAAAAGATCAATATTTCTTATTTGTTTCTTGTTAAAGGAATTTAGGAACTTTTTAAAATTGTGTTTTAAAAATGTAAAATACAACATATTTTTTTTTGTTCATCCAGAAATCCTTTTTTTTTTTTAATTTCAAAATTTGATACTATTCACCTGGTTTTTGGCCTCCCATTTGGTCTTCTGATACCAACTGTGGGATTCATTTTTTTATTAAAGACTTCCCGAAGGATTGCTTTGAACTATATGTCCTGACGAATCATAAACTCCTCGCCTTAATATCTGAGATGTTTGTCTTGACTACGTTCTGTAAGTTCTTTATTGGTCTTCCTCCTCATTGCAGTAGTATTCTGATCACAAATTGTTCCAATTATTATGCAGAGTACTTTCCTCTCTAACCTTTCAATTCTTCTTTTTAGGGTGTTCATTAGTTTTCTCATAGTATACCGTTAATACACTATCTCCATGGTAATTCAGTATCAGTGAGAGAAGAAAGCTCTTATCGCTCTTATTACATGCTGCTCTATTTCCAATAGTTGGTCATGTTAATTTTATTGATTCACCTCCAACAATCAGTTTCTCACAAGGTAAGCCAAGGTTAATTTCCTTCCACCAATCAAATGATAATCTATCACAATTATATTACTGGTACCAGTATGTAGGGCAGTTATATGGATGGCGTGACCAGTGTGGTTGTGGCACGTATTCCAGGGAGGATGCCATACGTCCTGAACAACCATCAAAGCCAGTGTAAAATTATCTTTTAATAAGTGAAATCGCTACAAAATATTCAAAATTTATCTTTGATTAATCATTTATAAACCTTTCTATATTTTTAAAAATGGGAGAATAGGGTACTGGATTTCAAGATAAAAGAAATATTTAAAATAAAATAAATTTAAATGTCAAATTCAAAACCATGGTTAGGTTCTGAGATAAATTTTTTTTATTATTAAAATAAATATATATATATATATATATATATATATATATATATATATAGATATATAGATATATATATATATAGAGAGAGAGAGAGAGAGAGAGAGAGAGAGTGATTGTTGTAGATGAATCAATAAAATTAATTAATTAATTATAGCCTGCGGTAGTCAATTTTAAATAGTTTGAAATAGGAATAATAAATTTATTACACTTTTTCGCATAGACAAGATAACAGTTCTATCAAATTCTATTATCATTCTCCCTAACAAAAAAAAAAGATAATAATATGGCCACTGGATCCGTCTTTGAGGCATGTATAGTAGCCAGCAGAGAAGTTAATCATAACAAAATATTAAGTTGATTTAATTATTAAAAACTGAATAAGAAACAAAATAACTGACTAACTTAATGAAAGTAAACATGACCAACGATTGGAAATAGTGCAGCATATAATAAGAGCGATCAGAGCTTTCTTCTCTCATGGATACTGAATTACCATGTAGATAGTGAATTAATATATATATATAATGGTAAAATGTAATCCTGTTTTATGAAAAAAATATTAAAAAATTATCTCTTACAAAAAGTATTATTGTTCGTGTAATTAATTACATTAAATAGGACTTCAAGTATCTCTTAAACACTATTTCATATAGGTAGTTAGTTTCTTTCTGTTTATCCAAAGGAATTATCGTTATTTTTATGAAAAAAAAGCTTTCGGGCTTAAGCCCCCCAAAATTAAATCCTGGATCCGCTAGTGATACTTATTGTTACGAAGGCAATCCTGCCATTGTATCAGTGAAACAGAAAAATACTTTTGAATATTTTGTCGCTTACTTCCTTTTTCCAAAGTTATTATCGTTTTATATAATATATATATATGAAAAAAAAAATCTATCAGGCTGAAGCCCCCTCCCTAAAATTAAATCCTGGATTCGCTAGTGCAACAATGCAATCACCTACTCTGGGATCAACTTACTTACTGTCTGTACAGATATAAATTTTTCAACTAGAAACATTAATAAAATGACTTCATTCAAAAAATGTTGAAATTATAGTTAGTCATTCTGCCAACTGAAAGGTTTATTTAATGAAATGGTGCAAATCGTCTATTTGAAAATTAAAACCAATTATTTTGAGAAGGAACGTCAATTTTTCATTATTACTTGAAATTAAGTTGATTTTAACTAAGGTCATTTAAGTTGTACCAATAGAATATGGACCTCTTCAAATGAAAAACTTGCTTAAATTACCCAATCTCTGTGGACATTCTCTCTGATTTGAAACCTAGAGACCATATTTGATTCTATATTTTTCTGTTAGGTTTTTAATTTGAAAATAATCTGAATAAATCTATCTGAAAAACGTTAAATATTAAATAATCAAAATAAAAATGTTGTTTTTAATTGGAAAAGTTACTGTAAAAAGCAATGTTGGTTTCTGAGATTTGAAAAACAATATATTTATTTTTTACCATTGAAGCATATGAAATATTTTTTTAGATATACAAAATAAATATATATATATATATATATATATATATATATATATATATATATATATATGTTTATATATGTGACTTCAGATTTGTTATTGTATATGTGTGTGTATATATAAAGTTCATTTATGTTTATGTATGAACCTTAAGGTTTGTTATTGAAATTTCTGTTCTGGTAGCCTATTGTATTGTTTTTCTTAATCTTAAATACCTCACAGAAATACCTTTAATATACCTTCATAGAAATCAAAATAAAAATGATTTTTTTTAATTGGAAAAGTTACTGTAAAAAAGCAATGTTGGTTTCTGAGATTTGAAAACCAATATTTATTCTTTACCACTGAAACATATGAAATATTTTTTTAGATATACAAAATAAATATATATAATATATATATATATATATATATATATATATATATATATATATATATTATATATATATATGTATGTATATATATATATGTATGTATATAATGTTTATATATGTATGTGACTTAAGATTTATTATTGTATATATGTATGTATATATAGAAAGTTCATTTATGTTTATGTATGTACCTTAGGTTTTGTTATTGAAATTCCTGTTCTGGTAGCCTATTGTACAGTCTTTCTTAGTCTTAAATATCTCACAGAAATACCTTCACATTATTTGATAATGAGCTACACTTTTTAAAAGGATTCAGCACTCATTTTTTCAATAGTTTAACTAATAATAAAATTAATTTAATACATCAATCTTTTTCTCCAAAAGTATAACTATTATTAGTGTATGATTATTATTAGTTTATAACTATTAATATTAAAAAGTGGTGGTTTTACAGATACTGAAAGAATTATATTGCTTTTTATAGTTAAAAGATGGATATTAAAACGAAAGAACAATACATACAGTTACTATGTGCTGCATATTGGATAGTCTCATATATCATACTACCATCACTTTCTACGGGACTTCTATTCTATGTTGCTTTGTTTACTGGTTATTCACATCTAGCATTCCTATACATGATTTGGGCATTCTACGACAAAGAAACTCCCTTTAGAGGAGGCCGCAAGTGAGTATTAATAATTTATAATATTATAATAATTAATACAATTTTCAAAATCCAATGGAAGGTTCTCTCAAGGAACCAACTTTAATTAAGACATTTTCAAGCTTATTACATTTACATTTTCTAGGATGGTATCTTCATTATTATTCAATCATTTCGAAAACAAATATTTAACAAATATTTGGAAAATATATATTTATTTATCGAAAACAAATATTTATTTATTTAAATATTTAATATTTCGAAAACAAATATTTTTAAGGGGATATATAATTATTTCATTACTTAAAATACTGATATTGATTTAATGAACTAGTCCAACAAGTGAACCTTTTGCTTCTTTTTGTGAAAGTATAACAGTTACCTAGAGGCTGCTTTTCAATACTAACCAGAGTTAGAGTGTCAAAGATACATTTTTTGGGATAGCAAGATGGATATTCACACTTTTCCAAATCAAAAACACTGGGATTATTACTTTAATATGTACTTTAATAGTGGTTAACATAAAATAATAATATACTTCTTAAAAAAATTCAGTTATGTATATGTAATCATTGAAAAGGTAAGTGTTAAAATAATCATATGGGCTACTAAATACCAAATAATATCAAAATCTCAAACATGTAATACAACTCATTAATGAAAAATTACTTTATAAAACAAAAATAATAAACTACTTCTTAAGAAAGGAAGTGTGAGAAGTCATATTTTATCATAAAATATGATAAAAAGAATAAAAAGGCAGAATTATTACATTTTTTCTGGAATATGGCCATGATTATGCATGGTTACTTAAAATAATTTATGTTCAACCATGGTCTATTTCTTTCTTATATCTATAATGCTATTTTATACACTACTTATTTGCCACTTCTTTGGAATCTATCAGGCCAGGTCGGCAAGTCGGCAATTGCTAATTGATAAAACTATTGTTTTATATTTTTCTAGTGTTTTTATACCCCAAATAAATTGTTTGTACTTATTTATGGCCATACAATGATTTGGAGGACTCCATCTGAGAGCCCAAAAATCATTTTTTTGTATTTATCTAGTCCCATTTTATGTCTGGGTACATAAATAATTGTTTTCCATTCGTTTATTCCCACATATTTTTGATCCCCTCCAATGGGCAATTATCGATTGTAGAATGATTGGGGGTCCCCTCGAAGGGTCCTAAATATTATTTTATATTTTTCTAGTACTGAGGTATGTTTGGCCCCAAAAATAATTGTTTTGTATTTCTGAAATTTTCTGGGGTTCCGCCGATGGGTCCGAAATATATATATGTATTTTACTTTTACATCACCATAAAATGATAGGGGGCCACGTCTGAGGATCCTGAATGTCGTTATTTTGTATTTTTCTTGTACCTTGGTGCATTTGTTCAAATAAATAATTGTTTTTTATTTGTTTATATCTGAAATTTTCAAAGGCTCCTCCAATGGGCTCCAAATATCGTTATTTTGACTTTATCTAATGCTGTTGTATGTTTGGCCACATAAATAATTGTTTTTGATTTGTTTATTTCCACATATTTTTGGAGCCCCATCATAAATGTTTTTTCTTTTTTTATCACCCTAGAATGATTGGGAGTCTCCTCTCAGGGTCCTCAATGTCGTTATTTTGTATTTTTCTTGTACCATGGTATGTTTGGCTACAGAAATAATTGATTTGTATTTCTGAAATTTTCTGGGGCTCCTCCGATGGGTCCTAACATAAATGCTATATACTTTTATATCGCCATAGAATGATCAGGGGCCTCTCTGATTGTTATTTTGCATTTTTCAACCTTATCAGTAACCTGATATCTTGTTATGGCTGTCAGCATGCTGTCCGGCTTAGGTATCGATGCTCAATTTAAAAAAGATCTAGATAAAAATTTTTAATATATCTGGATAATGGACTGTGTGATAATACATGAAAATATGCCATAAATTAGAATAGTATATGTAAGTAGTGAAAAAATAATTTGACTAGTAGGTATATATTCTCAACCATATTGGAATATATTTTCATCCAATATATTTTCAACCACACTATCTACAGTCCAGATGGAGATTTCATGGTGCAAGTTGCAGCATCAAAATTTTTGAGGGGGACACATTTTGACGTGGTTTTTAATTTTTGAGGGGGCACAACATCAGAATTGATAGGGTTATAAATTTTGGGAATAAAAATTTTCGAACAAAAAACCAAGGGAAACATGTAACAGACTGTTGGAATTTCTTCACCATTAAAATTAATATGGTTTGATTTTCAGGATATCATTTCTCAGGAAGATTTCATTTTGGAAATATTTTATAGATTACTTTCCCATTAAACTTATTAAAACTGCAGATCTGAATGGAGATAAGAATTACATATTCTGTTATTACCCTCATGGTGTTCTTCCTGCTGGAATATTTGGATGTTTTGGGAATGAGCTCTCTTCTTGTAAGGAATTGTTTCCAGACTTAAATATGCATTGTACAACTCTTGATATAAATTTTAATGTCCCATTTTACAGAGAATGGTGCATGGGTATCGGTAAGTAAAAATACCTTTATACCATATATATTTTGATGTAGCAATCATGAGTTTTAACAGTAACTAATTTGAAAGAATTAAATATGTTTGTTAGCTTATAAAATTATTCTTATAGTTACTATTACTTTTTATTTTCGGAAAAATCTTATTGATATGAACAAATATTGAAATGAAATGATTTTGTTCAGTTTTATTAATTTATAGTTATAATGAAATAATAAAAACAATTTTTTTTTTAATCTTAAATTAGAGTTAATGATTAAGCCTGATTAACTTATTTTAATTAGAAGAGATGTTTCTCACCGAGCTTGGTGTTTTCAATGGAAACAATATTAACAAACACCCTGCTACTTATAACTTGTTCAAAAACTGTATTGTTCAATGGCTTGCTTGAGAAAATATTGTTTCCATTGTGAATAACATTGTGCAAAATTTAATGCTGATTATAAATTGTTATTGATTACATGTTTTTAAGGAGGGATATCCAGCTCAAAAGAAAGTATAAAGTATATTTTGGATGATAAAAAAAAAGGTAATGTTGCCGTCATTGCTGTTGGAGGAGCCTCAGAATCATTCTTTGCAACACCAGGACCGTACCGAATAATATTGAAGAATAGAAGAGGTTTTGTCAAAATAGCATTAGAACAGGGGTAATTTTTCATCTTAAATTAATTCTTATTGAGGTTAAACAAATACAATTAATAGTTGTTTATTCTCAGATCCTTTATTATAAATCAGGACAAACAAAATGGTTATTGAAGTTATGGCAGTGTTCTAGGTAGGCAGATATATGGCATACATAGGAAAAAGTAGTATCATACCATAACAGCCAAGTAGTTTTTTGTCCTTTTATAACCAGAATTGTTTCTCCTTTAAATTTATTATTGAAACAAATTTTTAATTATCCTAATTATGAAAAGGGAAGTCTTTGCTAATCGTTGAACTCGATTGTACCTCTGATTATTAGAAATATTACTAAATTTTCTAGAAAATAAAAATATATCATCTATTAGATTTGGAATATTTAATAATTTCTTCCTCTTTAAAGATACTGCATTTTACTATTCTAATACTGGGTTTGTTTTCTTGACTGATATATACTTTATTATTTCATAAAGGCATTTGTTTGTTGGTACATTTTAGATTTTTTAATAATTTAGAAAATTCCATAATCGAGACCTTAATTTGAATATTACATTTCCTGTCAGTGTTTAAAAATAGATCCTAGAAAAGTAATTTGTACAAATCTTTTGGTCTATTATTTCAAATGAAATATTGTAATCAACCAAGGAAAATACAATTATTCCTCCCTCACTTTAATACATAGAATCTACTTATTTCCATAATGTTTTGCTATTCCTTCACTAAAAAAAATATTCTGTGAATTATTCCCACAGGGCAACTAGTTACTTATATTTCTGTTCTCTATCGTTTATTTTGTTTGACGATTTTATTCAGGAGTATGCAGTTATAAGGTTTTGATTCATGCACATTTTAAAACGGAGCATCCAAAAAAAAAATTGTAATTTATTGTTGTTTGACTTAATATAAAATTAAGAAGTTATTAATAATTATATAAATAATGTTTGGATTTCAAGTTAAGAAAATAAAAGAATATAATACAATACCTTCTTTTTCATATGTTTTCTATAGCTTTGGAAAAAAAATTGAGGTAATAAAGTTGTTATTCATAATCAACACCCCAAAACTGCATCAAGACCCCTTTCTGGTCAGTATTTGACTGAAAAAAAAAATTAATGAGTATGAGATGATCCTAAATGATGCCCCATAGGAAAAAAATGCTTTGTTTAATTTATTATTTGTTGATGTTGCTTTAAAAAAATGCATTGTTTCCATGCTACAGAAGAAAACCCTAACAAAGATTACTTTTTTTATTATCATTATTTTCATGCAAAACATGTGCCATAGTTTAAATTCATAATCAACACTAAAAAGCATTTATGACCAAATTTTCATAACTTCTCTACTATATTATATAGAAATTCCTGTAAGTTATTAATATTATTATAATGTATTTATACTATATGTACTTAAACAAAAAAACTTATTTTTAAGGGCTAATTTAGTACCAGTATTTGGTTTTGGTGAAATTGAATTATTTAAACAAAATAACCCTCCAGGCTCAATGCTGTATAAAATTCAAGTTATGGTGAAGAAATATTTCGGATTTGCCCCTCTAATGCCACTGGGCCGAGGAATATTCATTAATAAAGGTCTTGCACCATACAATACACCAATAAATGTAGTTGGTAAGTTAAATTTTTTTAAAGATAATTATTCTAATACATAGGATTCTAAATTTGTCATGATCCCAATACTTTACCTTATTATACATTTCATATATTCGTAGGTATGTGAAAGTAAAAATATTACTATTTGTTGCGGAATGATAAAGCCTTACTTTTTCTTAAGAAGACCTATAATTTTGGCACACAAAACCAACTATGATTGATTCACTATGTATCTTTTCATCATTGTCTTTCTTTTATCAACTATGAGGCATGCCTCATTTACTATAAAAATTTTATTTATATTTAATGACACTTTTAACGAACTTTTACGACTAAAACTTATCTTAATAAAACTTGATTTTTTCAGTCGGCAAGGCGATAGAAGTACCTAAAATCATTGATCCGAGCAATGAGGATATAGAAAAGTATCATTCCTTATTTTCTGAAGAATTGGTCAATCTCTTTAATGAATATAAGGACAAATATACTGAAAATGGAGAACTAGTAATACAATAAAAACAATGTCATTTGGTCAACAGTGAATACAATGTTTCCATGGCATTGTTAAAAACATTGCTTGATGTTATATAAATGTATATATATGGCAAACATAATTTTCTTGAATTTGTTGTGCAGTCAATATTTCTGTATAAATGCTATTACAATATTACAATTGTAAATGAATTTAGTTATGAATGTCCAATACTTGTGGGCATTAACAGGTCTATCTCAATCTTTTTCATAAAATAAAAATGATCTAAAAAAATCTGATAATTATTTATTTAAATACTTTTCCATTAGAATATCTATGTTGTCACTAATGTTAGAAACAGGTATTGTATGATAAGAAATTTCAATTTTCGTCGTCACTTATATGTGATGAAAAAATGTTTGTATTTTCAGCAAAGTAATATTAAATTATGGTTGGTGCCTGGTAGGCCTGTAACCCTGTACATTGCAAGTTGCATCAAGTAGTGATAGGATTTTTTTTTGTATTGGGTGTCACTAGTGGATCCAGGATTTAATTTTGAGGGGGCTTCAGCCTGAAACCTTTTTTTTCATAAAAATAGCGATAATTACTTTGGAAAAACAGAAAGAAACTAACTACCTATATGAAATGGTGTTTAAGTTATTCCTTAAGTACTTTTAAATGTAATTACACGAACAATAATACTTTAAAAGGTATTTTTAAAAATTTTATCCCCATAAAACATGGTTATATTTTTCCATTTTGGGGGGAGCTTCAGCCTGGAAGCCCTCCCCCCGTAGATCCGCCCGTGTTGGGTGTGACTGAGAACCAAAATTCAAATCTTCGACTACCGCAGTCCTCCAGATCACTTATTATTATCCCAAAAACTGATATATATTTTCTCATTTTTAATCATAAAGGAGCACGTTAGAGCGCACGCACACCCTAAAAAAAAATCCCAAAGGGTAGAAAAAACCTAAATATAGGGGAGAAAACCCGAATTTGGTCACCTTGGAGCTATCCTTAAATTACATCCCTTGTTCCAGGTACGAAATTCGTTCACTTTTGCGTACATATGCAAAATTATATTTTATAGTCTAGATTTGTTAGCAAATTGTAAATAATAACTATTATAACCGTTCATGGGTGATAAATATTCAGGACGCAGTCATTATAAAATTTCTTTATTTGTGCCAACGTTTCAACCCAAACATTTGGGTCATCATCAGGGTGTGGTTGGAGCACTGAAGGTGTTCAAGTACTCAAGTACGCGGTACTAACGTTCCCTGTTTTAATAAAAGAACAACACATTCTAATCAGAAATATACAAATTATTATCGTGACCAGTTTTACGATTCGCATGGATTCTTCAAGGAGATTATAGTTGTGAGATTGCAATGCGTTCAAATCTATTGAAACTGAGACCGGGAGAAAACCCGAATAAAAGGTGGTTCGAAAGAATAAATGAAGTTTTTTTAAAATATATTTTCCTCCATCATGTAATTCACCTGCGCGACACAGTTCGGAGTCAATAGGAACAAACTGCGAAGGAACAAAAGCCTTCGCATCTCACGGCGGCCCAAAAACTACATCACTCTTTTCTTTAATAGATGTTTTTCTGGATGTTTTTTTTGTTGAATCACTTTTCTAACATCGAGAGGGAGACGCGTTCCTTGGAAGAAATCACTAGTGCTGGTCACGATAATATATTTTTTTATGTTACATTTGGAAATTCGTCTATGAGGATGAATTTTTCCTATATTTCTCATTCCTTTAAATAGGTGTTAATTGGACTTTTTTTCCACCATCCAAGGGAGGGCGCGCCCCCTGGCAGAATTCGCTAGTGCTGGTCACGATTATAATTTTTTTTTATGTTACATTTGGAAATTCGTGTATGAGGATGAATTTTTCCGACATTTCTCTTTTCTTTAAATAGGTGTTTTTTGTCACTTTGTTCGGATTTTTTTTTTCCACCATCCAAGGGAGGGTGCGCCCCCTGGCAGAATTCGCAAGTGTTGGTCACGAAAATAATTTTTTTTTTATATTACTTTAGGAAATTCGTGTATGGAGATGAATTTTCCCTAGATTTCTCTTTTCTTTAAATAGCTATTTTTTGGATTTTTTTTTCCAGCACCCGGTGGGGGGGGGGGGCGCTCCCTCTCTGGATCCGCTAGTGATATATAATCAGTGCAGGGCATAGACATTGACGCTCTCGGACAATCATGAGCATTCTCCCTCTCTCCCCCAAAAAAGCAATTTAGAATTATTTTATTAAATATAGTTTAAATTATATTTCAATGCAAATTCGATTGCATTGGAGAGTAGGTTTAGATGAATTTATTTCATATACTTTTTATTTTTTTTTAATTCTCAGAAAGTAACGGGAGCCCATCCAAATCCAGGCCCATAAACGTGTTTCCGGGTTGTCAGGCACTAAAACTTATAGATACTAACACTGTATTTAACTTATAGATGAATAAATTTCAACTTGTCTAGTTTGATGAAATAATGGTAAGTATGTCACCTCACAAAACTATAATTGTTAGTTTTTTTTTTAAGTGATAACGAAAGTAAAGACTGAATTTTAAGGTCTTAAAAAAAAAAAAAAAAAAAAAAAAAATATATATATATATATATATATATATGTGTGTGTGTGTGTGTGTGTGTGTGTGTGTGTGTGTGTGTGTGTGTGTGTGTTTTTTTATATATATAACTATTTATTTCGGTTTATTCTTTTTTTTTTTTTTTTTGAGGGGGGGAAGAGGAGTTTAATAATGATAGGTATATTAAATCCTTAAAAAAAAAAACTTTTTTTTATTATTCATAGAAAGTTGTCAGTTTCTACAAATATACGTATGTGCCTATAAATAAGTTTCATACCTTAAATTAAACTTATTTTCCTTTTTGACCATTAACTTAAATTGTTTTTTGAAATAACTTGAGCTAATAGGAAAACCTCTGATCTAATTTTACTAAATAATCATTCAGATAACATAGTTTACAACTTTTCAAAGAGCATAAGTACGAAGATGGGCGAGAATAATTTGTTCTTGAACTGCGGTAACACTGCTCCTTAGACTCTAGTTGGCGGGAAGATGCGTTAAAGGATCAATAAAGGAACGGAGGTAGCGGAACTGTTACAATTCACAATAACGTTTGTTTTTAGTTTGCTATTACAATGGACTGTTACAAGAAAAAAAGATTTAGTGCGGAGGAAATAAATTTCCTAACTTCACAAGTGTTAAAAAGAGCGATAGTTCTAGAAAATAAAGAATCTGATGCTCTTACAAACTCGAAAAAGAAAAGGGCTTGGAAAGAAATTTTTACTGAATTCAACTCTATTGGAGAACACAGTTATGTATGTAAAATGACATAGAAGAATTTTTAAACCAATTCAGGCGTTGGCATTGAAGGGAGGTAAGTGCTATTAGTGCATTTTTTTCTCCCTTGAAACATAATTTATTTACTCAGAAATTCAAAAAAATTATTGGTATTATTGCTAATAGATGAATTACTATTATTAATTCCATTATTAGTGCCACCCAACCACTTGACGTGTCTTTGACCAAAGGGGAATAAACACCTATGTAAGGTGGGCACACTTCCTTAAGGGTCCCTTACACGGTCCATACTCAATTTCGTCAAAATATTGTTAGGACTACATTGTGTAAATTATATTGACGTAAATCAAATTAGTGTGTATTCTTTTTTTTTAATTTTTGTATTGGTGTTCTTTCAATGCCATTGAAGGAGTGTTAGGTGTATAGTACATATTATATATATATATATATATATATATATTATATATATTAAATATATATATATAAATACAATTTCACTCACACACACACACATATATATATATATATATATATATATATATATATAAATACAATTTCACTCACACACACACACACATATATATATATATATATATATGCAATTGTTTTGAATGCATTAAAATTTACCTATATTTTTCCAATTAATAATTTTTTATCCACCAAGGTATTTACGAATTATTATTTACCTCTTCTCTCGGTCACGCTTTTTGATCCTTATTGTTAAGAAGGCAATCCTGAAGGCATCAGTGAAACAGAAAAATACTTTTGCATATTTTGTTGCTTACTTCCTTTTCAATCGCAACGCCTCTATTATGGTAACGATATTATTACGACATATTCATTTTATTTCTAGAGAACATTACCTCAGCTAAAGAAGTGCTGGGACAATATAAAATCAAAGCGTAAAAAAGCTCTAGTTGAACAAAGACGAAGGGTAGTTTTTGAAGATCACAAATACCTCCCAAAAGAAGAACATGTCTTACCAGACCAAATTCCACTGTTCACTAACATTGAAATACCCACGAGTGTGGACAGCAACAACACAGGGAACGATTATTCCTGCATATTGGACGAGAGCTCAGGTACATTGAAATAATTCTTTTAATTAATTATTGATTTGTGTTTTAAACCAACAGAGATTGAAAGACAAAAGCGTTTCCAGAGAGCGGATGAAGGTAACGTGTGGCAGTTGCTTATTTAAAAAATAATGTTGCAATGAATATTAAAAACGCTGCAAATTATTTCACAATGGTTTATTATTTCCAAACAATTATGCATCTAAAGTAACATTACCTTCCGAGTTACAAAGAAAAAAACAAAAGGTGATTCCAATTATTGGACTAAACTGTTTTTCTTTAATCATTAGTAATATGCTAAAAAAAAAAATAGCATTAGTTCAGTAATACATTCAAAATTTAAAAACCAAACCAAGGAAATAACATTTGGAGTAAAAAATATTTTTAAAAAACCGGAGACCATATCTTTGCTTCTAATTGTCCGATTTTAACATTTTTTTTTTTAGAAAATTTCGTAAACTTTTAAAAAATCATATACAATATCAACAAACAAGTAAAAACTTTTCGAGTTATTCGGAATTTAATTTTACCATCCCTCGTAACTCTTTTTCCAGCTTTTCGTTGAAGTATGCTATATAGATAAATTTAAAGGGCGTCGAGAAAATGACTTTAGCGAAGTTTCATTGAAATCTGTACATTCGTTTAGGAGCTACAGTCTATAGCAACGCAGGTTTTTCGGCCGCCATTTTGAAAGTTAAAGGCGAAGAGTACTGTCGATGAAGGAGGATCATCCTCGCGTGACCTCTGATTTTATATGCGCAGACGGCGGACGGACAAAAAAAAATTATTCGTTTTTCGAATTCTACGCGTCCTGAAACATGAAACCTCAAATTTTGAGAGGGGGTTAAGTTTTTGAATTTTTTGGTCTCTCACAATGGTTGATTATTGAAATAATAAACCAAAAATGTAGGAGTGGCAGACTAAATAGTCTATGCAATGCGTGAGCAGTCATGATTGCAATACATTTAAACGTATGCTCTCGCTTACTGGAAATAAGGAATAGAATACAGGCAAAATCAGAATGGCACTGAGCTTTTAGAACTCTAACGGCGTAAACTGAAGAAAAGAGGCATAATTAAAAAAAAAATTAATTTCTAAAATTATAATAGCTACAGATTGGTTGTTAATATTTTAATCTTTAAAGACCAATTACCCAACCTTTGAAATTAATTGCCTCCCTTTTAAACTATTGTCTTTGGCTACGCTTTTGTTTAACGAGAAGTCAACCGAGTCAACTAACCTAATCAAAATTGACTCTATCAGACATGTGAATTCCTTGACTGTGCGGCCCACAACAAAAAACTTCGATTATTTTATAATCAGTCAACGAAACTTGCAGAGTTCTATTTCACTTTAATTCCTTATTAATTTTATTTTAGGAAAAATGAAGAGGAAAACAATTTGTGAGGACGCATCGATCGACCTTGAGCTGCAAGCTAAGTTAAAACGCCAGGCCATGCTGTCCAAACATGAAGAAGATTTGCACAAAATAAGGAAGGAGGAGCTCTATATTCGGAAGAAAATTGCCCAAGAAGATTTGAAGAGGTCACAAATGGAAACTATATTCGCTCAAAAGAAAATGGAATTGGAATTAGCTCTATTAAAAAAGCAAATGGAATAAATAAAAAAATTGTTTTTCATTATTTATATTTTTACTACTAAATACTGTTTGTAAATAGTTGTTGTTGTTATTTGTTTACAATTATCAATTTCTCAAGTTCAATAAAATGTTTTTGTGAATGAAGGATTGTTTTATAACTTGCTCCCTGCCTGTTATTTTTTAATGACATATCACATTATTCGTAGTACTTTAAATTTATATTTATATTCAGATAAATTATCTATCCTGTCAATGCTATGAAGAATAGTGCAGACAACTTAATACATTTGCATATTTTAGACATTATTTATTACTTTTCGACTAAAACGTCCACCGAAAGTCTTTCAGCTGAATCTTTTGTTCTGTGAAAAATATTCTACTTCTGTTGTGGGTGTGATATTCAATTGAGCTATTTGGTAAATAAATATGTTTTGTTTTGATACCCTGCATCGCCAAATATAAATCGATCCAAACCACAGGTGGATCTACGGAAGGAGGGCTTTTGAACTGAAGCCCTCCCCCTCTCCTTCCAAAAAATGGTAAAATGTAACCCTGATTTTTGGAAAAAAATATTTAAAAAATTCTCTCTTAAAGTATTATTGTTCGTGTAATTAGTTATATTTAATAGGACTTCAAGTATCACTTAAATGATATTTCATATAAGTGGTTAGTTTCTTTTTTTTTTCCAAAGCAATTAGCGTTATATATATGAAAAAAAAAAACCTATCGGGCTGAAGCCCCCCTCTAAAAACAAAATTAAATTTTGGATCCGCTTGTGGTCCAAACCATTATCTTCTAATCTTGACTGTACTGTTAACAAAAATGCGAATCTCGCGCCAATTCTGGCCATCAAATTATATCAAAAAATTTATAATTTGATCTTCCAACAACTTGTACATTCAGCAACATCCAACTTTTCCTGTTACGAAAACCTATGCATTAGAACCTCGAGACTCTTCATTCGAATATTCGTACAATGAATACAACCAATTATGATTCAGAAATCTTCCAAATTTATAAAAACTGTCCTTCGGTGGTCGAAATATGATGTTATTTTTGAGAAACGTAATAAACCTCGTTTATTGGGGCGATTTCATTGCTGTTCATACATGTCATGCACGGGCGGATTTACGAGGGGGGGGAGGCTTTCGGGCTGAAGCCCTCCCCCCCAAAATGGTAAAATATAACCATGTTTTATGGAAAAATATATTAAAAAATTATCTCTTAAAGTATTATTGTTCGTGTAATTACATTTAAAAGGACTTAAGGAATCACTTAAACACCATTTCATATAGATAGTTAGTTTCTTTCTTTTTTTTCCAAAATAATTATCGTCATTTTTATGAAAAAAAAAAGCTTTCGGGTTGAAGCCTCACTCCCAAAATTAAATCCTGGATCCGTTAGTGATGTCATTGATATGTATTATCTAATTAAACAGTTAAAAATGAAAGTAATAATATCTAAAAAGAAGAACGGAAACAGAAAATGTTTTTTTGAAAAGCGATACTTTTTACGTTATTCTATGTGAAAATATTTTTCAAAAGGTTCTATAGATTCCTAATCTATAATTGGTACATTTTCGTTTTAATAGTCGATAAAATCATTACATAAAAACACAAACAAATCGATTTTTTATTAATTTATTTTTTAATAAAGAAAAAATTATATATGCGAAAATAATAAGAATTGCACTATATTTCGGTTAATAGCAGGTGGAAGTCAGTTAAGGATCCCTAAAGGGAAAGAAGAGAATATTTTCCATCCCAAAATACTCATTTAGAAAAGAAAAAAATTATGACCGTTTAAATAAACTTTCTAGTACTAGTATTCGTAGGTAACTGATTAAATTATCATTCATTAGGGAGAAAAAATAAAACTGACTAACCTTGTGAGAACTCGATTGTTTTAGACGAATGAATGAATTCTTTTTAGTCCGAGAGCCCGTGAGAAAAAATCGACATTATTTGAGGAAAACTTTAAAAGCATTTGTCTGAATATTTATAACATTTATATTTTTAAAAAAATAAGAGTCTGCCTGTCGGATCTTGCTACCAGAAAAAATCGAGGCTGATTTAAGAAAGACCAGTAACTTTAGGAACAAAAGGAAAAATACATTGCGAAAAAATTTTTTTTTAACTTGTATATGTGGGGGTTCAGACATGTAAAAATCAAAATTGCTAACACCAGCCACCAAAAGAAAACTTTTTACAGACAAAAAAAAAACAGATTTGTTCGATCTTTTTTTATTTTTCTGCTATAACTCCTAAACGGTGCATCGAAGCGCAAAACTTACTCTTTAAGAGATTAAAGAAAGTTGAATTGTGCGTTGAATGAGTACCTAAAATTAATAATTTGGTTAAGTGATATGGTCGATAACATTGAAACTGTTAGTACTCAGTGGATGCGGACTTTGATCCTTTACAATTTTTATTGTATAATTTCCTCTTATACTTAGAGAATTCATTTTCCAGCTGCAGCGCCATTTATAGTAATTTGTATCAGTTGTTGATGAATTTGGTAAAAACCAGCGTTGGTTAACTGTGGTTAACCTAACTGGTTTGGTTGACTTAACCAAATTATTAAATTTAGGTAGTCATTCGACGGACAATTTAACGTTCTTTAATTTCTTAAAGAATATGTTTTGCGCTTCGACGATCTGTTTAGGAGTTATAGCAGAAAAAAGATCGAACAAATCTGGCTTTTTAGATGTGAAAAGTTTTCCCTTGTTGGCCTGCGTTAGCAATTTTGATAATATACAATAACATAATATATATACAATAAGATAATATACAATAAGGCGTTAGCAATAACATATATACAAGTTAAAAAAAATAAAAACTTCTCCCACATTTGTCGCCATGTATTTTCCGTTTCTATCATAAAGTTGCTAGTCTAATATTTTTTAAATCAGCCGCCATTTTTCTTAGGAAGATCCGACTAGCAGACTCTCATTTCTAAAATATAAATGTTATAAATATTCAAAATAATGCTTTCAAAGTTTTCATCAAATAATGCCGATTTTTTCTCACGGGCTCTTGGAGTATTTAGATCAATGAAATTACTTAATTACATTTTCTATGCCCTTTTAAATAGTTCGAAACATGATATTAGGTAATCGATTTACAATTTTTCCCATAGGCAAGGTAATATAATATAATATTTCTTGCTAACTCTGATATTTCCCACTCAAAAAAAAAATCCTCTAAATCCACTCTTGGTTTTAGTGAATGAAGGAGGGATTAGGAAAGGAAGTTGAAGGTACGTACGTAGGTAGGCAAGGTATGTACCTTTCCCACTCCTTAACTACTAATGCTGAAGGAGGCTTTAAGGAAAGGTACTTGTAGGCGCATCCTGTTAAAAAATATCCTCCTCTCGCATCCTCTCAAACAGACATTTATAACGGAATTTAAGACAGCTAGTTTCCCATCAAACTATCCTAGTTATTAATCCAATATATTCTTATTAATAATAATATGTATTCAATACTATATTATAATCTAGCCAAGGTCTTCTTAGATAAAGATGTTCACCTATCTTCATCGTTGTACGTGCATATTACTCTTTATGTGACGAAAATACTTTTGGAGTTAACCTTCTTTTGCCTTTTCTCACTTAATCTAACTATATTCAGTTTAAGATTTGTATATATATATATATAATTATATATATATATATATACATATATATTATATATATATATATATATATATATATGTATACATATTTTTTATTTTTTTTTTTAGATTGTTCTCATGTCTATAATGCCCATCATTTAATTTATCACAACAAATTTGCTGGTTGTCACTGTCATGAAGTGCTGATAAGTATATGAAGTGAAAAAAAATTATCAAAATGAAAACTTGTATATTACTTTAACTCTAAATATAAAAACACGACAATTAATATTGTGCAATATTTATTTTTAGTGTCTCAGGTTGAAAACAAATTTTAAATATTTCCATTTAGTTTCCATGGAAATTCACTGTAATAAATATATATATTCACAATAATTAGTCATAACTTTATTTTCCATCCAGTAATATAAAAGTAGAAAGTTATTTACAAAACCACATTTAATAGTTATTAATTTTTCATTACTCTCCATTATCTCCCACTTTTAAAGATGTTGGATATTAATTGTTCTTAAATCCTAGCTTTTAAAAGGTACCATACAAGGGTCATAAATAGATAGAGGCAGAGGGGACTCATGCCCCATGTTGCAAACTTCAAACGAAAGTTTGAGTAAAAAATATTAATTTCAGGTAGTTGTTATTCAGGGCTTAGAGGCATAAACTCAGAAGTTAACAACACCTATTTATTTATTTTCTGGTTTTTGGGTGCTTAGACCTTAAATAAGTCAATAAAAGTATCTAATGTTATAAAATAATAATTGCGGAATATATTACCTAAAATATTACTATGAATATATTTACTTTCATTAGGAGTGGTAAAACTTTTCTCTAATGGAAAAAATCATAGTTCCGGCACTGGTATCATACATCAATATTACATACTTCTTTTATTCTTGAAAATTTGTTTTAATCTGGGAAAATATTTTTCCTTTTTCTTTCTTTAGTTCATTGCTTTACAGTTGATATTTGAACATTTTTATTACTGCTAACTGTGAGAATGTTGTGTTCTTTCAAATAAATAATATTAAAGGTTCTTCATAGGGAATTCAAAAACTATTATACATGCAATAACATTAGAACTATCTCAGACAGATGGTTCACAATTATGTATATCTCATCCAAAAGACATTTAACCATGTTTTAATTTCTAGTGCCTTTGCTGTAAATAAAGGTTCCCAGGGTTTATGCCTCTCCACCAATGCTGTTGTGAGGGCTCAGCTCCACCAACAAAAATCATTTCATGAGTTGTTAAAAATTATATATTAAACACATAGTTAATGAATTAATATTTAAAGAGCTCAATCATTTTTAATATGGTTTAAGATTGTTTGATAACTAACTCATTATGTACAATAAATTAATTCAGTTACTTCTCCTTTAATCACAGCATAATTGTTTAGAAATGAAAATTATAATAGCTTCCAAACTCATTTAAAATGTTTAGCAGCTTATTAAAACCATATGTCATTTCGTCATTTATATAAAAACAAGTAAATGATGCTGTTCACTAGAAACCTCAAATATAAACTATTTTAATTTTAAGATTTCAATAAAGAATAATATTCTTAGGCATTAGTAGGTAGAAACTAATTAAAATAATTTCAGTTATCAAATTAAAAGCAGCACTCTTACAAACAACCAACACTCAACTAATATATTAATTGTTAAGTAGAAGTGATACATATTTTCATTCACACAATTAAATTTTAATAAGATGTTTATAAATACATAAACATACTAATAAAAGTATTTAAGGGATTAAAAGGTATGGTCATAATAATTTCATTAAAAAAATCTCAGATTTTATTAACAATATTAAAACTATAAGATATTTAATATAAAATGAAGTAACAATTTAGAAGGAATGAATTGTCTTTAAAAATACTCCAACTTTGTCAGGTTCAACATCAGGATAAATGCCATGGCCTAAATTTGCAATATAATTTTGCTTACCAAAGCTATTTAACATATCATTTGATAAATTTGTTAATGTTTTTTCATCAGAATACAGAGCACAAGGATCTAAGTTCCCTTGAAGCGTGATATTTTGCCCAACTTTTTTTCTTGCTTCACGAGGATCAACAGTCCAATCTATTCCAACAACTTCATATCCACTATTGGCTAAACTTTCAAGAGCATAATGGGCACCTTTTGCAAATATTGTCATAGGCACTTTTTTTTCTCCTAGTCCTTTTTTAACTAATTCACTGATTTCTCTGATATATGGCAAAGCAAACTGTTTAAAAAGTTCTGGTCCCAAATATTCAGCACTTGATTCAAAAACCTGTAAAAGTTGGGCTCCTGCCTTGCCCTGTTCTACTAAATAATCTGCTACTACTTTGGTAAGAATGCTAAGCAATTCCTTGGATTTTTCCGGATACTCATACAACCAATGTTTAGCCTTTGACATTGTCTTTGAACCTCCACCTTCAATCATGTAACCCATTAAGGTCCAAGGAGCCCCTGAGAACCCAATCAGAGGTACTCTTCCATCAAGTTTGTGTCTTGTTAAAGTAATTGCCTTCATCACATAACCAAGTTTTTCTTGAACATTCACAGGATAACTAAGTTTGGAAATATCTTCTGGTTTAACCAGTGGTTGAGGAAGGACAGGACCGACACTTGGTTTCATTTCAACTACCATTCCTAAAGCTTGAGGAATCACTAATATATCAGAAAAAATGATTGCTGCATCTAAATCAGTAAATCTTTGAATAGGCTGTAATGTTACTTCACAAGCTAATTCAGGGGTTTGACAAATAGTAAAAAAATCAAATTTGCTTCTTAGTTCTCTAAATTCAGGCAAATATCTTCCAGCTTGTCTCATTATCCATACTGGCACTTTATCTACATTTTCACCCCTAGCAGCCCTCAATAAACGATCGTTTTTCAGAACAGGAAAACTCAAGTCGGCCATCTCTTGCAAGTCAGAACACTGTAACCTACCTTAGAAAAGATAACGGTAAGGTTACCAACACTAATTACACAGTTCTTGGCTAATAATCCCATTTAGACGCCTTCTTAACAAAAACTTCCTTACCCTCGGAATCTACAGCTGGATAATAGCCCATTCCTTCATATTTTTTTCGCATGTATGCAATATAGCCTGCACATCCAACAATTGCAATTAATCCTAGTCCCATTATAACTTTATTCTGAAACAGAAATTTTAAAAAATAATACCAATATAAATTAAGTTTGATATAGAAAACTTTTCAAGGCAATTGCAATTCAATAAAATGCATATTTCAACTTACCGGAGCTGTATAAAGTTCGAAGTTGACAACTCTAAAAACGTTAGTTGTTTTAATGGACCTAAGACCATCTCCAGGTTTAGATTTATCCATTTTTATATAATGAATGTTGCAATTAAAATCTAAAAGAAACACCACAATAATATTTCGGACGATATCTCCTTAGGAATATCTTAGGTGCAAAATAATCGATTCTTGGAAAATCTTGTAAATAGATAAAAATTATAATCGATACAAACAAGTATTTTCTTGGTCAACTTAATTATTTGCTAGATGTTTTTTTTTTTTTTTTTTTTTAGCTTTAAAGTTTTATTCACACCTGTCATAATGATAATGACAACCAGTGAATGTGAGATCGATTGATTAATAGAATTGTCATGAAAGGCATGAGGAGGATCAGTGCCCAGCGGCACCTCACTCGGCGTGATATCCACATTAGGCGAGGAGGTCCCTCATCCAGCTCCTCTTCAGTCTCCTACAGACGTTACCGGGCATATTCGTAGTGGCCATGTCATTTATAAGTGTATTAGTATGTCCTTGTAAGTTGTCATGGAATCGTTTGTAATGAATACGTATGTGTTCGTTAACAGTCGGCATATGGAGGTCAGTATGTAAGGTTATGTTACTAACGTACCAAGGTGCTTTTGTAATTGTTCTGAATGTTTTTGCTTGAAAGATTTGAAGTTTGTTTAAGTGAGTCTTTTTAGCAGTTCCAAATATCTGTGATGCGTAAGTCCAAATAGGTTTTAGTAAGTAATTGTATGTGTTCAATTTCTGTCTAAGTTTTAGTTTTGAATTTTTTGAAAGAAGTGAACTCAGAATTCTTAATCTTTGATTTAAAGTTTTTCGTTTTTTGATTATATGTGGGCCCCACGTCATTTTTCTGTCAAATGTCAGACCAAGGTAGTGAACGGTGTCTGTCTGTGGAATCTGTGTATCGTCAAGGAAAACTGGAGGGCATGTTTCATGTCGAAGCGTAAATGTGATGTGCTGTGATTTGTCTTGATTTAGTCGGATTTTCCAAATTTTGAACCAGTCATGTAATCTTGTTAAATACTGTTGTAGGGTCTGTGAGGCGTATGTTGGATTTTTGTGTCTTGCTAAAATTGCTGTGTCGTCTGCATATGTCGCTGTTAAAATGTTGGGACTACAAGGTATGTCATGGGTGTATGTGATATAGAGTAGTGGAGCGAGTACTGAACCTTGAGGTACTCCTGCTGAGATAGACCTGATGGAAGATAGTTCTGACCCGTGTCGGACCGAGAAAAATCTATCGGAAAGGAAGGATTGTAGAATTAGATAATATGTAGGTGGGAGTATTGTCTTGAGTTTAAAGAGAAGACCCTGGTGCCAAACTCTGTCAAACGCTTGAGCAACATCCAGAAATACGCCAGTTGCATATACTTTCTGCTCTAGTGCTGTAGATATGTAGTCCGTTACTCTATGTAGTTGGTGTATAGTTGAGTGATGTGCCCTAAATCCAAATTGATGGTCAGGTATTATTTGGGTGTTTGTTAGTATATCAACAAGTCTTTTGTTCAGTAAGCTTTCAAAAATTTTGGAACAGATAGGTAGTAAGCTGATTGGTCGGTATGAGGAAGGTGAGTTTTTGTCCTTTTTAGGCTTGTGAATCATTATTATATGTGAGTATTTCCACTGTAGGGGAAATTTAGTTGTCCTCAGTATTGCATTATAAATAGTTGTCAAAAGCACTAGAGCTTTTCTAGGCATTTGTTGGAGCACTTCAGCGTTAATCAAGTCATGTCCAGGAGCTTTTCTTTTAGGCAACTTTTTGATTTGTTCAGCAATCTGTGAAGGTGTGAATGAAATAGGAGGTGAAGTTAGTTGTAAGGGCATGTCTAAAGTGTTTAGTACGTTGTTATCGTGCACAGTGTTAGTGAAGTCTGTGTGTGGTACAAAAACAGAAGAAAGATATTCGGCAAAGAGTTCTGATTTTTCTCCGTCCGTCACGGCCCAGGAATCATCTTGTCTTCGAAGGGGTGCTGACACTTCACGATGCTTAATAAGGTTTTTGGTATGTCTCCACAAGCTTCCATCGTCGGTTGAGAGATTTCTGATGTAGTTGTCATAGGTTGTTCGTTTGAATTTTCCAATCTGTCGCTTGAGTTCATTAAGTCTGTTGTAAGTTCGTTTATCTGATGGGAGTCTGTCAGTCTGCCATATTTTGCGAGCTCTCCTCTTCGCTCTGATCAAGTCCCTTATGTATTGTGGGTACATTGGTAGGAACTCATATTTTTGAGGTTTTGCTACTGATGAAGACCATGCTGCTTCTTGGATATTTCGTGTGAAGTATTCAACGGCATCCTCAAGTTCTTCTTCGTTTTTAATGGATAGAGGAACAGAGAGAGCAGTGTCCAATTGGTTCCTGTACCTGTCCCAATCCATTATGCCATTGATCAGGGACAGTTTTTTTGTAGCTTCACAAGGCTCTTCAAACAATACCAAATGCAAAAGGGAATGATCAGAGCAAAGATCTGAACTCGTTGTTATAGTGTGAGGTGTTGTTCGGAGTCCTTTAGTTATGAAAAAATCGAGTAAGTCTGGTGTTTTCCGTCTAGAAGTTGGCCAGTACGTGGGTGAATTAGGTGATATTGTGTCTAATGAAAGCTCATAAAGAACATACCTAAGATTCCTTCCTCTTGGAGTAGATAGTCTGGATCCCCAGAACTGATCTTTGGCGTTGTAGTCGCCTCCTGCAACAAAGCATCTACCAAGACGTTTAAAGAAATTACTAAACATCATGGGTGTCAGAACATACCTCGGAGGGCAATAAACCGCAGCAAGAGTAATGTTTTGTTGTTGTGTTGATAGTGTAATGGCTGTAGCTTGAATCTCTGGTGTTATGAGTAATTGTAAAGGATTATGTTTTAGAGTTGTTTTGATAATTATGGCAGTGCCTCCATGTGAAGTTCCATCTGGGTGGTCAGTTCTGTAGATTTTGTAACCACGGATGTAAAATTTAGAATGTGGTGTCAGATGTGTTTCTGTTATTAGTGCAATGTCAATGCGTTTCTCGTGTAAGTATATGTCTAGTTCGGTTCTATGTTGATTCAGTCCGTTTGCGTTCCATAGTATAATAGACATGGAGCCCACAGTCGTCTGATTACGGGGCATATTTTTGGGTAAGAGCGAGAGTAGCCTGAGATAGCTGTTGTAGAAGACTGAAGAGGGGCTGTATGAGGTTATTGAGACCGCTAATCAAATGTATGATATCACCTGAGGAGGTTTCAATAGTAGGGAGCGTTTGGGCAATGCCCCTACTCATACCTTTAGGCCTTTGTTCTTGGTTTGTTGCCGGTGCTGGTTTTCGTTGCTGTCTCTGCTGCTGTTGTTCTGGTCCTGAGGGAATCGGATGAGGGTATTGAGGCTGATGCAGTGGTGGGAACTCGTGTAGTTCTGGTGGTGGGGGTTGAACTCTAGGAGGCCTTTGCAGAGTATGGTTTCTTGTGCGGGTCTTCCTAAGCTCTTTCAGAGTTTCGCAACCTCTGTAGTTAGCAGGATTGCTAGATGTTAATATTTAAAACTAGTTGGTCCTCACGAGTCATTCTCATAGTATATTGGTGATAAAAGCCACTCTTTAAAAAAAAAAAAAAAAAAAAATGTATATATATATATATATATATATCCATATATTTCGTTAAACGATTCGTGATAATTTGCAGAGATTGACGATCTTTGGTTAATATACCTTTGTCGCTTCAAATACCTAACGATAGTATTACGTACTACGACTTTTTTAATGAGGTGTTAATACTTCGTACCTCACCACTATCTGTATCTGAGTTCTACTCATTTTTTTTAATGTGACAAACTTTTAAGAATGAAAAAAATTTCAAGATATCATTCGCATATTTTTGAATAGGTCACTCATCCATTCAAACTTCTGAAACCTAACTGAACATTTCAAGAAGCTGGAATGATTTTCTGTTGTTCCGTGCGATAAAACCACTCCATTCTGCAAGATCAATTATATAAAAAGGAGAACAAATATTTTAAGGCGGCATTGTCAGAACTTCACCTAAGCAACCTTCAGTCTATCGGCATTGGTTCGAACACAGCGGGTTGAAATTTAGTTATAAGTGGACTCTTTCAGAACTTTTATTATTAGTGGTACCTTTACGTTTATTTATTACTGTGACAAATGACATTGATATAATTTATCCTTCTCTCTGTAAAGGTAAGCTACAATAATGTCTATTTATCTATCTTTTCTTAGTATACTGGTAATCCTCAGGGAGTACTCTAAATCCCATCTACATACTTTATACAGTTCACATTCTAACTCATCCTAACAATATTATTATCACATATGCTAATGACACTTGTGTTATAAGTTAATAACGGTCCATTTATTGCTTTCCAAACTCTTTTTTTCATTTATCCCAAACCTTGAATAATGATATCGAAATTATAAAATTACAATTAATCCCATTAAATTCACCTTCGTCGTAAACCAATTACTTCCTGCCCTACAGTTTCCTTTAATAATACTCCACTTACCTCTGTTGAACAGATCTGCTACCTATGTCTCCATCTGGACACACGTCTTACCTGGAATCCTTATATAAGATTGAAATGACCAGAAACTGCTACTGCAGTACTTACTAGAAAAAAACTGTAAGCTTCCAATTAACTATAAAAGACTAATCCGTGGTACAGACCCCTTTTTATCGAATTATTGATGAATGAAACTTCGTAAATAATTTCATCTCATCGTAACCTACAACTATTTTATTTACGAAAACTCTTGGAATTGGGGCATTTTCAATCTGGAGAGGGTCAAACTTTGTCTATTTAATTTGGTAATAAAAACTCGTAAATACTCATTTTATTTTAACTTGGATCTTAAGATAATTTGATCACAAAATCGAGAGTAAATATGACCTTAAAAATATTGAGCCGTTTGGCGTGACCTACACTCCCAAATTTTCAAAATAACGAGGTTGTACAGGCCAAACGGCCCAATATATTTGTAGGCCACCGTTTGTATTGATTTTGTGATCAAATTAGAATCTTATGGTCAAAGTAGAAAGCAAATAAGATTTTACGAGTTTTTAATACCTAATTAAATAGACTGAAGTTTGCCCCTCTCCAGATTGAACACGCCCCAATTCCAAGAGTTATTGTAAATAAAATTGTTGTAGGTTACAATGAGATGAAACTATTTATGAAGTTTCAGGCTGGTGTTAATAATTCGATAAAAAAGGGTCTGTTCCACGGACTTCTAATTTAGGTGACTATAATAAGACCTACATATACTCACTGCACTGAGTTAAACACGAAATTCATTAAATCATCAAATTTCTGTCGAATCCAATTCAAAATTCTTCGCCAAATCCCCAAGGCCCCTTAATTGTTACAAATAAAATTATGTATAATGACCTTAATGTTATAGATTTATTCCAATCCAGATACCTATCCTTCCATAAACTTCAGACCTATCCAAACCCACTAATTTCTAACTTTACACTCTATTAACCCGCCAAGTAACGATAATTCCATTAAGCCGCCTGATCACATCGCTGGAAAAAAAGATTTATTTTATACGCTATTCACAATATATTTCCATTCTCATATCATGTCATTTTTTTTTTTTTTTTTTTTGTTCTTCCCTACCTCGCCTTTTTCCTGGGCCGGAGGGTGAGGTCGGAGAATTTAAAATCCCCTCTGGCACCGGGATGCGAACTCATACTTTTTTTAATCTTCTCAAATCTCTTATCCGGTTGCCAGGCAACTCACGGTGCAGTGCACACGCTTTGGCCATTCGGCCACCCCGCCCCCTTTATCATGTCACTCTTAAAATGCATCCTTTGAAGTCCAAGATTTTTTTTTTTTTTTTTTTGTTAATGGAATTAGTGTTGCTTACATTAGTGTGGTTAAGATGTTCCCAAGCATCTTGCTAGGATGGAAGATTGCTAAATTTCAAAATCGTCAATCTATAATTGGTTAATTTTAGTGGGAAATGGAGTCTGAAGATCGTTAATATCTAATTAATAGGAAATAGGAAAAAAGGTTGGTAAGAATGAAGTACACCGAATTTTAGTCAAAAAAAATGAAATTGATTAGGAACGATAACTGTTTGGAAACGATTAGATAAATATGAGAAGAACCACTTTACAGATATGATACCAACATGTTTTGGAGTTTAAAAATAAGGATTTTGAGATAAATGGATTACAAATATTTTTAAAATGTGAATTAAGATTAGTTTTATTTTCTGTTATATTATAAATTTTAGGTCTTAGTAACTTTCAAGAGAGGTGATTGGGTGGAACATTGGGAACGGAAACTGGATCATGAAGGATTGAAAGGAAGCTATTAATCTGAATGCACCAACCTCTTTAGCGGCTTGAATGAAAATAGGTCTGAAGGTGGAAGCTGAAGAATGAACTGGAAGTTTGTTCAAAGAGCGAACCCAGATATCAGGAAAATTTATATATAGTCAAAAGGATAGCAAGAATGCGGAAAGAGAATTTGATAATTTTATCTGGAATTAGATCTCTGTTATGGTGTTGAGGATATCAGAAAATATGTCATTTAGAGAAACATTGAGGTAGTAAAAGTTTGTTTAGAGTTGATTTTCAGAAATGGGATAAGACTAAAGCTCAGATAACAATGCAGAAGAAAAGAGGTTGGGAGAATATGAGTAAAACTCATCGAGATCTACTTGATAATGTGCAGTTTTCAGTACTAATAAGGGATCGATTATTAAGGAATTCCATTGGGATCCAGGGATATAGTATTCTGCCTGATAGTTAATAAAAAATTTTCATTGAGACCTACTACATTTAGATAAAACATATCTTATTAAATAAACCAAATAAAATTAATCTAAGTTAAGCTCTGCCTAGTCAAGTAATTCTCAGAAAGTAATAGAGCAAAAAAATTGTTTTGTTTGCTCTGTTAAGTCTTTCAGTGGCTGATACACCAGAAGGTGGGGGTGGGGAAAAGGGAGTAGGATTGGAGCCACAAAATAATTTTCATTGTCATTGGTCCATACAAGGATCTGTGAGTGATGTCAGCTATATACCAGAACGAACAATGAAAATATGTACTCTATTCAAATTATAACACTTGTATTTCAGCCACCAAATGTAAGGTGCCAAGAAAAAAATGTAAATAATTTATTCTTTGAGCATAGATGTTCCTGTTCAGTTATTCTTTTTATTTTTCTAGGTCTTGAAGGACCACTTAAAACTTATTTATATTGTTTCTTTTTTCTTTCTTTGTAATTATTGTTATTTAAAAAAAAAATTAAACCCTCCAAAATTAAATATAGCATTTCCTACAGATTCAGTGTAAAACTAAACTGAAAAAGTTAATTCATGAAATATATTTGTATCTAAATAAACAGATTCATTTATGACAAATAAATAGGGCAAATAAAATGTATTAAGGAATTTAACACAAAATACATTTGTATATAATAATAAACAAAAGATTTATTACTATAACAATATTTATTTATTTAAATTTGCCATCCTCAAGGTCATTGGCAATCCTTTTCTCTTCCACATTCACTTGTGAAACCAGGTTGCTTTCAAGAAATCCACCAGTGCCTCCAAATCAGTTTCTGTATCCTGTAACACCTCCCATATATTTTGGTGTATGTCAAGATTTTTTCTTATAAATGTATGATGTACATAGTCCACCACTAGTGGATATTTTTTTCCATTAAACATGGTTACATTTTACCATTTGGTGGAGGGGAGGAGGGAGGCTTTAGCCTGAAAACGCTGCCTCCCATAGATGCGCCTGTGCAGTCCACGAGTATATGCTTCACTGTTCCAGGGGAACCACATGTATTTAAATCAATTAAAAATCTGTACCAATAAATTCAATAACGAGCATGGGTCAATTAATAGCTAAGTAATAGACCAAATGAAATTTTATTAAAATATCAGAAATAAGATAATAAAAAAATAATTCAAATTGGCAATTATAAAATATAACTGGAATTATATGATTAAATGCAAAACAACAATATTCTTTATTAACTGTGACATACTGGTAATTAAACATTACAATAAACGAACTTTAGTACTGAATTTATATGCAGACTTGTTTTTACATTCAAAAATGTACCCAGCATTGTATTACATTTGATTGGAGGTTATTAAGATAGATATATCAGCTTATAAATTAATTAATAAATATTTGACTTTAAAACCGGAAATGCTAATCATCATTTATCAGTCCCTTTCCTAATAACTTTTAGACTTTGTCTTCTACAACATTAAAATTCGGAAGGTGATGAATTAGTCTATCTCTCCCCACTCTTCTGGGTTAATATCAAAGTCTATCATATATTTGTCCAAGAAAAACCACTTGTTCAAGAACCCAATGTCCACAACTCGTTCATGAAATCTATAAAAAGGCACCCCTAAATAATCACACTGTGCCTTATAAATTCCTAGACAATCATTATAATCATCTTTCCAAATTATGGAAAAAAGACCAAAACTTAATCGACGTATAATTCCTTCATTGTAACTTTGTTCAATATTTTTCAAATATTGAGTTACTTTTGGATTTCTGACCGAAGGTCCAACAAACATCACATCTTCTGAATAGGATATGACAGCATCCCGGTAACTTATTTCATCAGGGTTGTTCTTGACACAATATGTACCTATTCCGAGAACAGTTACAAATGCAGCAGACTTCAAAGGTTGCTGCTTAGCAGAAATAGCAGTGTCTTTAATAACTTCAGCATAATCATGGAGTAAATTTTTCCAGTAGTCAGCCCATCTTTCTACCATAGTACCTTTAAATCTCTCAGGAAACGGAGGATACTTTATTTCTAGCTTAAAACGTTCGGTATCAACATACTTCTTGACTAAAGATTTGAAATTTCTTCTCAACAAAACCTCTGCAGAAGAAAATAAAGTAACTTTCTTTTTGTTTAACATTTTTAACTGTATATCAGTTGCAAAACACAACAATGGATTAAAAAAATAGATTACTAATACTAAACAAGCATATTACTGTTGCACTTAGTGTAAAATACAAACATTATCACAACCATATTTTCAAAACCTAACATAACCATTATAACCTTCGTAACCTACCTACTGGAACATGTTTTGATCGATGTAAAAATAAGAATCGAATTATATTTATAACAACAATAAATTTTCATTTATCTTTAAAATTACTATCTGTCCTTCCTGCTCTAGTAGAAGTGCTTAAAGACGTTAACGGTTTGTTATTAGTCAAATTTGAGTTGGAATAGTCTAAGTATTCTATATTTGGTAATGAGAGTGTTCCTGACACTCCTTAGCATAAGAAAGTAGTTACATTGATAAAGCTTAAACAGTAAATACTTAAACAATAATATTAAATAACTAAAATAAATTCTCATGAAGTCAGTTGCGAGAATTTACCGGATAATCGATAGTGGCCAACTAACGATTATTTTCCATATGAAGTACAGACTAGTTATTAAACCCAGCGCTTAGCTCATCAATGATACCGTTTAGGCTGGTATCTTATGCCTTCGATGAGCTCAGCGCTGAGGTAGGGAATTTGACCCACCATGGGTTTAGAGCTAGAGGTTTTAGAGAGTAGCAGGTCCTAAACATTATTTTGTTTTGGTTCTGGGAACCTTCAGTTCTTGGCTGTGAATTTTACCAAAGAAATGGAAATTATTGATGAAACTAAAAATAATCAGGATGAGGAAAAAAAAGAATATGATGATGAATTTGGTAATTGTAATGATATAATAAAGCTTGTACCTTTGAAGTTATTATTTTGAAATTATATATGTCTTATTATTAACAGGGTTATATCGGATGTGGTCAGCAATATCTTTCTCTGTAATGCTTATTGTAATAGGAGTTCCCTTATGGTGGAAAACTACTGAAGTTTACAGAGCACCACTACCATATGATGAGATACATGCATTAGACCCATCGCAGACCGAAATAAAAACAACAATATTTATTTATTCAGAATACCCTACTCATGCTAATGCAATAATGCAGGGTTTATCAATATCGTTCAAAAAATTAAGTAAGATTTATTTTTAAATATGTGAATCTCTCTCTTTTGAGGATTTTAACCATTTTATTATTTCAGGTATTTTCAATGTAGACATTAAGCCATTTAAAATTGATATTGAACCTATAAGTTTTGATGCTGTTGAAAATTCTTCAGCTATACACCCTACAAAAGCTGGACAGATATTGTTAGTGGAAGTACCTTCTTTGCCATATAATGACAAAGTACTAGTTTCTACTAATCGAATAATTTACTTCACCTATAATGATGGTAATATATTATTGCACTGAAATTTGTTATTTTTGTCTTATTTATAATTTTATTTGTTTGGTAATGGTACAAAAATATTCCATCAGAAAAATATCAAGAGCTAGAATATTTTTGAATTTACAAGGTTTAAACAAAACTTTAAAATTAAAGATATGCTTATTCAATTTTTTTTTTTTTTTTTTACTAAGGTAATAACCAAAATCAGTATTTATCTTTTTTATCAAAATTTTATTTTATGAGATTATAAGACAATAGCAGATATAACCTTTAGTATTGTTAACTGCTTCGACACATTTTGGCATGCTTATAAAATATTGAGGAATGTCATCACACTCCTCCAGTAATGCCCTAAGCACTTCAAGCTTAATGAATATTGAAACCCACCACTTAACTTTTCTTTTAAGTCTCCATGTCAACTTTTTCCAACATATATTGGGATTGCTACCAACTTCAATACTTGCCTCCCAAGGAATGCCACTCCATTAAATGATTGACCTCCATTCAAATGTCAGGTTCTGACTACCACTCTCCAGACTTTCACGGCCATCAAGACTTACTTGCTATTGTTGTCTCATAATTTTTCCTTCAATTTTAAGATTGATGTTCTCTTAGAAATCTTATTATCTGTATAAGTTGTTCTGAACTAAGAAGGAACACTTTCACAGGTCTTATTGAGTAAAGATTGGACTCTTTCATTTTTATGACAATGATTTCCTCCCTGCTCCCCAAATACCAGGAAACAAATGATTAATGCCAGAAGCTGCTGAATTTCGTTTTCTGAATCCTTGCATTTTAACAAAAAAGTCGTCAATGAGATCAGGGTCTTTTGGACATCATCAATTTGGTTTCTTGAATTACTCTGTTTCTTTGTATTTTTTTATGATCCTTGGAACATGTAGTAATCATGAACACTGTATCACAAAGATTTTTTCTTCCTAAAAAGTAATTATTCATAATGAATCGTGGTTTAACAGTGCTCTAACCAAACTCAGAATAAAAGAAGGAAAGAATTTGATGTACAATACAGACAAAAGGTTAAAAACAATTTTTTTGACAAGATTTTTAAGTGTTGTGATTTTTTTAATTTATATAATAATTTTGATAAGCATTTCAATTTTCTAGACTCTGATTTAATCGCACAAGTTATCATGCAGTGGTTCTTCGAAGAAAAAGCTCTGATTAATAAAGTCACATCTATCATCTCACCTCAAAAAACCAATATTGGTGAAGAAAATAGCAATCGATTAAGAGCTGCTCTAGGATATGATGTCATATTTACTATCATTAATTCTGATCCAGAAAATGTTAACTTCAGTTGGGATGTAAAAAATGATGTGAATGGTAATAAAAGTTAATATTTCTAGATTTTGATGTTTTAATGGATTAAGGAAGGAAATGGTCCTTTTAAAAAAAAAAAAATCAGTGTTTTTTTTAAGTGAAACTCCTAGCTGAACACACCTCCCTGAAGAAGAGAAGACCTGCAAAGTCGGGTCGAAACGTTGGCTTTTAATAAAATAGTTTTGCCACTATTTAGCCTATTTATGACCGCCACCCCGGACCATCTCCTTCCTTTATAATGCAACGGTCAACTATTAAATATTCAACTTTAATGGATTATGATTTAATTTTGCTATATATTTAAAGGATATATGCAGCCACTTCTTTCTCAGATTTCAAAAGTAAGTTCACATGCAATTAAATCACAGTGGCTTTATTTAATGGATCTTGGAGAAGTTCCTAGAAAGGACGAGTCTGGTTGGTACACTTACAAGTTTTCCCAGCTTCCTCACATTATTACACCTCTTGAGAAGAAGCTTGGATCAGGTTTGATTTTTAATAAATACTAAATACTTTAGTTAATTATGGCTGTGAGCCACCAGGTTTTTTATATAAAAGAAAATGTTTTGAGGAATGTTTATCATTCATTTTTTCCTCCTCTTGCATAGTAATCCAGTGCTGGAGGAGTAATACTCCTATACCTCTAGTGATAACAAAGCATAGCATCCCTCATAAGTAGGGCTGTGGTGCTTAATTCATTCCTTCCAACTAGTTTCGTTCCGCCTTACACACTATATTCTATGAATATTAATTTACTTTTTTTTTAATGGTATACTGATAAAGTATTTTGATTTACTTTTAGTTCAGTACTCACTATGTAATAGTAAAAAAAAAAAAAAGTTCTTCATTACTACTTTCCATTGTTCCAAGTTTTTCCAAAACAGCTCAAATAAATGTGAAATATAGTTTTATTTATGATTGTCGTATTTTTTTTTTTTTTTTTTTATGTTGAAAGCATAATTTCTGAACCTTGGAGTTCACCCTATTTCTAAACAAAAGGTCTAATGTCCAAAACTGAAATTTGAGTGAAGTACACAAACAAAAATCAGGGTAGGATACACAATAATTGTTATAAGTTTCAAAGTATTCAAAAAATGTCTCAATACTTTATAAGTGGAAGATGATTTCCTTTGTGCAGTCCATTAAAAATTTTGGACATCGATACGTTTTGTTCCCAACTTAAGAGTTGGACGATAATTTTTCAGGTTTTGACAAAATCATCTGTAAGTTATTATTATTATTACTCACTTGCATTGCATAATTTCGTTGAGTATAATTTGTAAAATAAGAATGTGAGATAAGAAATTAAAATTTAAAAAGATTTTTCTGTACCAAAAATTTGGAATAAATTATGTTAGAACTTTTTGATTACAATTGGTTAGAATTTGTGAAAATTTAAGTATAGATGAATAAAATATTAATAATTAAAATGAATGATCATTGAAGTTAACAATCGGTGTTCATGAGTGTAATGACATTTTGTACTATCATTTACTCATAACGGTTTGTCTCAGTATTTTTATTATTTTTTGCATAACTAAAGTTTCATAAATAATTAACTATAATGACATTTGTCATTACTGTTTCATATTTTATTTTATATTCAATTTAACAGTATAAAAATAGCTGACGAATTTGGACCTATTTGTTTAGGAATTTCAAAGAACCCATGCATACACATGATATTGTATGTGGCCGGATGTTCAGTGAACCCTCTTTGCTTTCTCTCTTCTGACGAGTTGAGGGTGGAAGGGATGATGTCTCCTCAATGGGGTGCAGTTCAAATCCTTAATCCAACCGAAGAAAACTGTGTAAACCATACACAAGTTAAATTTTCTCCTAAGGACATAATGTCTATATTTATCTCTCAATTTCATGCTTTGCTCGGAATTAGAGAAAAGGTAAAACTATTTAAATATATAAAAAAACTCTTAATTTAGATTATTAATTTTTTTCATAGTAAATTTTTTTCTTGTGTTTTGATAAACTATTTTTGAATCAGATTTTAGTATTTTTTTTTTCAAGTATAAATTTATTGCTATTGTTTATTGTGAATAAGTACTTTTATGTAAAGGAAGTCTCTTACTTTATTAAACTTTATTCATTGAGGCAATTTGAACATTTTCTATCATAATTTTCATCAAAATCAATTAGTATCTGTGAAAGAACTCTTGCATTTGACATCTATTCGTCTGTTATAAGTTTGAAGTATAAGAGACGTTTGTTTAAATTTTGTTCAAAATCATATGAATACATCAGTTGTATATATCAAATGTTTTATAAGAGGTTTTTAAAATAGTTTATAACTGATTAGTCATTCGAACTCATAAAATTGTGTAAATTCATGTAAGTATGAAATATTGTCAACCATTTAATTAATTTATTAATACATTTTTCCAGAAAAATTACTGTCTTGAGTTCCATTATTTAGATACTGTTTGAATTAACATTTCATTATTATATTTATAACATTATTTGAATTAACAAAATTCAAAAGTTTATAAAAATGAAGTATGCTCCATTCAAAAATAAATTTAATATTTTTTTTTATTTTTATTTTGTTATTTTAAATTTGCCACTGCGTTGGAACGCATCAAGCAAATGTGTTGGCGTTAATTATATCTTCTTGATTCCTGATATCTTCTTAACTTTTCAACAGATCTCTAGGCCACTGCCTTTTTAGTCGTCTTTGAGGCTCACCAGGTAACAGGAAGGAAGATAGAGATAGAACGAGTGGATTTGGATGATTGAGAGTAGAAGTGTGAAATGTTGTGTATTTGTTGTGTATGTAGGATTTTACTTTTGGTATGTTCATGTCTTTGTGTATGGTGTGATTTGAAATAAACCAAGGAGCATTGACAATTTTACGGAGTATTTTGGATTGTGTGGTTTGAATTTTGTTGATGTGTGTGTGTTTTGCGGAACCCCAAAGTTCTGCCCCGTATGTCCAAATAGGTCTTAGTATAGTGGTGTAGATTAGTCGCTTGTTTAGTAAGTTGAGTGGAGATCTGTAGTCTAAAAGATTTGACAGTTGTTTATATCGTCTGGTCAGTTCTTGTTTTTTTAATTTAGTGTGAATGTTCCAGGTGAGTTTTTTTGTCCAAGTATAGTCCGAGATACCGTACATGTGTTTTTGAGGGAACTGGTTTATTCTCTATTGTCACAGCAGGACACGAGATTTTCCTCAGGGAGAAACTAACATGAGTTGACTTGCTGGGATTGATGTTAATTCCCCATTTCTGAAACCATTTTTCAAGGACGTGCAGGTGATTTAATTTAATATTAATTTAAATTAATATTAAAAAATATTTCAGGTTAGGAAAAATGGTGTCAATTTTATGGCATTAAAAGGACCATCATTACGTACCTGGGAATTAGATTCTCTTTATAGAATAAGGACAGTCGAACAGATAACATCTGCATCTCTAACTCTACAGGTATTAACATTTAAATAGAATACAATCATGTTATCATTGTCTCCCTTAATATTAACTGACGTTCTTCAAATTTTAATACAGTCCCTTTCAAAGCTTCTTGGAGAGATCAATAATATAGTGATAAACGAAGACGTTGCGAGTTCTATAAATGTTGCGGTTAGCAATGTAAAGAAAGCAGTGACTGCTTTAAAGCTGGGTGATCTCGACAAGGCTATGGAAACATCGAGTGTAGCATTCGGTGCTGCGGAGACTGCTTTCAGTGATCCATCTTTATTATCTTTACTCTACTTCCCAGATGATCAAAAGTAAGTACTAGAATTAATTGTTATAAATTAGCGGGTAAAATAACCTATTATTGACATTGCACCATTCAGTAATATTGAATTTGTTTATAAAGTTTTTTTATTCCTTTATTTTTAATGCCAGGTATGCTGTGTACATCCCACTCTTTCTACCTATAATGATTCCAGTCATAATGTCATTGAAGAGAACTTATTCCTGGCTGGTTCAAAGAAAACTCACCACACACGAGAAGACTGAATAGCATTAACTGTTTCAAAGGGGAAAAGCTCCATGTTAAGCTTCTTTTAGTTTGGATTATTATAAATATTTAAGTTTATTAATTCACTGTTTTACTTAGATTTAAAATTTTTATATATATATAATTTAAATTCAATAAATTTTCAATTTTGTAAAATTGATTTTAATGTTTATCTTTCAAATTTATAAAATTAGGCATGGAATGCTCTGCTAGGAGAATATAGAATCCATAAGTATGAATTTATAACATTGTATATAATATAATAGGAACAGAATATATTTTATTATAAGAATTAAGAAATAGTTTAAAAGAGAACTAGATACTCTACTAACAGAGATAAAATGTTGTAATAGGATTCCAATATCACGCTGCATAATATTAGAAACAATTTCATCGTAAGGAGGTTTTGAACTTTTCTGTAAGCTTGTTTCGAAATAAATATTAAAAATATTGCTTAAAACACTACACATTATTTTGAGAATGTAAAATGAATTTTACAGAAAATCCCATTCAAAACATAAGAAATCCAAAATTGTTCTTCTTTTTAGTTCTTGAACTTACGACCTTCAGCAACATGGCTGTTACAATATAACTTAGAAAAGCAAGTAATAATTATTTATTTCAGAAGGTAAAAATAAAAAGTAAAAATAAATATAAAGGAGGAATCCCAGGAAATTTTTATTGTAATTTAATAAAAGAATAAATCTATACTTAAAACTCTTATTGCTCAACAGTAAATAAAATGACAAATTTTTTTTCTTTCTTCAATCGAACAAATTACAATAAATTAACAAGCAATAGACCACACCTGCCAACATGTGAAGATTTACTTTAATGTTAACATAATTAACATTCATAAAAAAATTGTGTCAAAAGAAAAACAGGCTGATAAAGACATAAGCCATAATAATACTAGATAAACACAGCTAAAATAAATTAAATAACGCTTACAAAATTGATAAACAAAAAAAAAGCATAAATTAAAAACCAGATATAAATAGGGTCATATAAAATATTAACATTACACTTATTTAACTCTATAAAGCAAGTTTATATAAATTTAAATTTCTCTTTTTCTTTTCAAGCTAAAATAGAGATTTTGTATACGTACACATATACATGAATTTATGGGCTCTAGAAAGGATAAGATTTAAAAGCATTAATTCTGGAAGATTGTTCGTGTGAATTCTATATAATCGAGAGCACCAGGTATTGACCTTTCAGTTTTTGGGTCAACATAGGGTTTCATCCTTGCTACGCAGTAATCTGCCATTTCTTTAGTAAGGTTCTAAAAAAACAAAGGATCATTAATTAATATATTTTCAAGTTAATATGTCTTAATAGCAAACTAGCTGAAGGAGGTAACTTACAGCATAAAGTTCTTCTTTGGTGACATAAGGCTTATCGCCGGCAGTGATGGATCTGAAAGCATTCTCAATTTCTTCAGAGCTCTGAACATTTTCAGTCTCTTTACTAATCATAAATGCCATGTATTCTTGAAGTGAAACATATCCATCTCTATTGGGGTCCACATTATCTAAAATAAGGGATAATTACTTTATTACAACTGACCTCACATACTGGGCACACATTAAATAAACTAGTACACTAACTATACTTGTTAAATCTATAAATATTTGTGGAATGCGACTTTTGCTTGAACATAGTTGCCACTGAGACCAAACAGTGACTAGTGTAAACAGTACCAAATAAAAATCAATTTATATATTTTTTAAAAAGATACGAGTTCTATAGAAAACACTATAATAATAATAATGAATTTTTAAATAATTATTTTGAAAAAAAAAATTTAATTAAAAGAAAAAGAGTATGTTGAAGTCAATAATATATTTTAGGTACGGTGCTTAAATCAATAAAATAATTTCAAACTTACCCAAAATAGCTTGGAATTCGGGTTCAGGCTGACCTTCTTCAACCATAGGTAGATCATAACCAAGGGCCCTAAGGCAGGATTTGAACTCATGATGGTCAAGGCGGCCACTCTTGTCCTTATCAAAATGTTTGAACATCATGCTGAACTCTTTGAGAGCATCCTCGCTAACACCAGAATGATTCCTAGCTTGTATTTGTTGCTCCAGGTTATGTTGCATTCGCATACCTAACTGGTCAAGCTGGTCCCATTGTTGCGCCAGACCAACAGTGCTGTGCTCAGTGTACCTAAAAATATTATTTTATGAGTAAGTTATCTTTAAAAATCAGTAATATTAAACTTACACCAGGAATATAATTTAATCCTTAGGGCTGTAATACTAATTGATGAAATGCTAAATAATGATAGTTGAATTAAACATTAAGATAATCTGATCATTTTTATCAATGAATTTTAAAATATGATATAAAATATCAAGCGTGGCCTTCCTCTACCACATTTTCCAACAGGTCGATCCTCAAGCATCGAGCCACATAGCCCAACCATCTGTTCTGGTTACCCTTCATCTCTCACAGTTCTTTATTGATGCAAATTCCCTATTGTCCATATTTAAACACCGGAACACAGATCCAGCGGAGAACCCTTCTCTCATGCAAGTAGCATTATCTAAAGTTTTGGAGATCATCGAAGTCTCAGAACCATATATGTCAATGGGTCTGATAACTTTCTCATACTTCTTTTTGTCACTCCCTTCCTCATCTTTTAGGCTATACCTGGTTTTCCAGGGCCAGCAAATGAGGGTGGGAGATTAATGGCAGAGTTAAAAGCCCCTCCAGGGACCAGGACACTATTTATATCTAATTATCTTTGATCCGGGTTGCCAGGCAATGTGCATACACATATTCGACCAATTTTAGGGTGTGGTTAACTATTGTTACATATCCATCCGTTCCACTCAGTATTCTTGACCTTTGCATGTAAACAGTCTTCTGTTTATTTATTTAATAAATTAATTATTTATAATTTATGGCAACTAATTTTGTTTTAGTTCAGTTTTGACAGCGTGCCTTCAATTTCATTATTTTAAATTATTCTTTTCTTCTTGAAATAAATTTGAATCAGTGAAATTTAAGTAACATAATTTAAACTACCTTCCTTATCTTATAACACTAAATAATTAATTTTCATTAATGATCAGCAAAGTAACAGGTTTTACAGAGTACCGGGTAATAATATTAATAATAATTCTGGATAGCTGGAACCAATACAAACTTATGTAAATAATTGGAACAATTTTTTAAAAATAATTTTGTAAATAAATTAATTACCTATTGTCAAGAATGAGGTGTTCTTCAAGAATAGCTCCAAGTTCTTCAATTTTCTTAAGGTCAGATTTACGCGATCTAACCTCAGTAGCCTTTCGCTGAAAAAAATAACGTTAAAACTTTACTATAATTTACAAATTACTAAGTATTTTATGATACTATAGTATGATATTAATAAAGCTACTTTAAAAAAGAAACAGGAAAAAAGTATTGCTTTAAGGTAATTAAGAAATTTTTAACTAGTTGCTTCATAAATAGTAAGTATTCATGATAAATTAAATTAATTTGGTATGATATAGATAAGTAAGAAAATTTGACTAACTACATATTTAATAATTTTTACAATAATAAATTTAAAATTTATAAAATCAACTAAATCGGCGACTATCAATAAAATAAAAAAATATTTTGTATACCTTAGTTGCTTCAAGCTGCTGTTCTAAAGATCCAGAACCTTCCATCATAGAGGTTCTGAAAAAAAAGAAAATATGAGTTTTCTCTGAATTTATGACTTATTAAACTGAAATAAGCAGAATGCCAAAACAACAATTTATTATCCACAACAAAATTAGTTAACACATTTATTATAAATAATAATATAATATTAGGGCATAGTTTATTATTAAATGTTATTATAAGCACACTCTCAAATTAATTTTCAATCATCTCACACTTAATATTACTTTTAAATTATGCAAGAACAATTTAAAATATACAGTTATACACATAAAAGTAACCTTTAGAACATAAAAATTAGATAATATATATCCTTTCATATCAACTACTCAAGCAGGTAAGCAAACCTAGTGTCCTCGTCAACATGGATTATAGAGTCCTCAAAGTGAATCAACATATCTTCATTATCTCAAACTATTTTTTTTTTAAATCGAATGAAAGTCTCTGATATGCTAGTTCTATGGCTTAAAATTGGCAGAAATGTATTTCAAATTTAATTTTAAGAGTTCTGCAAATCTTTAAGCCACAGAGTTTTTATTCTATTAAAAAAAATAAAACCAATACCAGTAAAAATTCAGTTTCAAGATTATCATGTGAAACCGATACAAAACTAGGTTAACGTAAAAATAAAGTGTCAATGTTTACTTTTTTAATGCCGAAAATAATTAATGTCTGAGAATGGTTAACACTTAATTTGAGAAGGTGCTTTTAACACTTATTCTTAACAAACACCAATCAGTTATAAATGTTAAAAGACATTTTATAAGATTAATATATATTTATATTAATATAAATACGTAAGACATTAAGACAAAACTAATAAATCTGGAAATAATAATGGTTATTTGAACAAAAATAAATAATTAAAAACCGTGATTAGTCAACTTATAAACTTTTTAATTACTTTTTTCTCTCATCACTCAGAATTTAAAACAAATAATTGAAAGTCCATTCAAATCACAACAATATTCCAAGCAGCACAAAAACCAAAATCAAAGTTGAAAACAAACGTAGTTAAAAAATAAAGTTTGTTTAGACTTGACACTCAGTTAGTACTTTGGTTATGAAGATTTTTGTTAATTATTAACTAAAGGAAATGAAATAATCACCCATCCCATCCAAGTAGTCGATATCTGTCGATCCAGGTCAACGCCATACATTAAAAGAAATAATTACACATATGATGAAATAAAAAAAAGTAATAAAAAACTATAGTAGTCAGAGATAACTTAAAATTACTATCACAAGCAGACAATCCCATATATTTCTTACCATAAATGCTTCTTTGAAAATAAAGATATGCTCATCATAAAATAATAAACCAATTACCAATAACAATTAATATTAATTCATTTTATTATTATGGCTGGATCTAGGAGATAAAATGCACATAGTGCTGTTTTACAAAAGTTACAATTTCTTTCTACTACATTTAAATTCCATTACTAAAAGTTTTTAAATTACACAATGCAGTTTAATCCAATCCAGTGCAAATATAAATTGTAATTTCTGTAACTGTTACCAAGTTTTTCTTTCAAGATTCTTATTTTCCATAAAACTAAACACTACAATTGTAGTCACCCCTGAAATTGTAAATATAAATAATGCCATCATTTCCATCTGCTAAAACTTAAAATAAATGAGAACTAACCGATATTTCCCATTTAAAAACAATCAAGTTTGTCCTTATATTAACTGCTGGACTATAAATGAGAAACCTAGAATTTTAAAACAAAAACTTATTCCTTTTCTTTTAGTTAAATTGCAAGATTTGTACATCAAGAATATAAAAAAAGACACCATTAATTTTTAGCCATTTTGATAAAAATAGGTAAAATATTAGAATATATCTGCATTAAATATACATATGAAAATTTGCTATAAATATCTGAAATAAGCATGTTTTTTTTTCCTGCTTCAATTTAAATTCTTTTATTAAAGAACAAAAGTCTCCCTCCCCCCTCCCGCTCCCTCTCTCTCTCTCTCTTCCTCCCTCCCTCCCTAAATACGGTGAATGTTTTAGATCACAAAAAAGGAAAAACACCAACATGACACAGCTTTAAGATACAATTTTGAATAACAATTCATTACAAAGAGAATAAAATACTGAAAATTTTCCTCGCTTACAGTATGCAGGTCCGAATTTTAGTTTCTGAGATATTTTAATCCAAATACAAAAACACTTCAATTAGTTGACTCAAACTTTACACTAATGAGTGTCACATATCCAAGCGTGACGGCTTAGTCTCATGTTCAACTAAAATTGTTATAATTTGATTTTTGACATTATATTTTCTCTTTTCGGGTCTCCAACTCAGCGTCAGGTCAAAATGCAATTTTGAATTATAGCTCATTACAAAGAGGATGAAATGCTGAAAATTTTCCTCGCTTACAGTATGTAGGTCTGATTTTTAATTTCGGAGATATTTTAATCCAAATACAAAAACACTTCAATTAGTCGACTCAAACTTTACACTAATGAGTGTCACATATCCGAGCGTGACGGCTTAGTCTCATTCGCAAACCACTAAACAAGTGCAAAGTGAGCCTAAAGAGGTTTTCATTTCAAAACAACACAAATCAGAAATGGGGTACGACAGAAGACTAGCCATATTATAGGTCATTTGACATTAAAATGATTCAAGATTAAAATTTGCAATAAATATATATATTATAATAAAAATATAAAGCACCTGGTTTCGGTCAGCCAATGATGGAATGCATTTGCATGTTTAGCAAATTCTTTGCGTAGTTTATCATTCTCTTCTTGCCTCTGTGCTTCTTTGGCCAATTCAACATCCCGTTCCTAGATTGACAATAAATGATAAACAAAATTAAGGAATTATATTCCTGAATGAATTTAACAGAAAGTTCAATAAATAATTAAAAAATTGGATCTTGAACATAATTGTAAGTTCATTGAGATAAAAATACATTGAGCTAGATATGAGATATATTGAGCTAGATAGATTGAAAGATATGCAATACAAAAATGCTTAATTATCTAAAAAAAATTCAAATAATCCAGAGTAAATATTTAAAAAAATTGAATTAAAGTTCATGAAAATAATAAGCCTGATATAATAACAAATTGTTGATACAGTAAAAATAATTACCTTAATTATCTTTTGTAAGTTTCTCCAGGTATCTTCTAAAGCTTCCATAGTAAACCATGTGTAAGGGTTAGGTCCAACGTTGAAACTTTTAATTTGTTGGTCAAGAGCAGCGAGGGCTTCGAAATCGGCTTGAGCGGAAGAAAGAGATGCCTAAAATCATTATTGATGGTTAGCTAACATTTTTCACTTTCCAGCTCTCGCTAAAGCAATGGATGTTGACAAAAGAAAGGGAATTTCATGAAGAAATGAAGAATTCTGCTTTCTATCCTCACATTTGTAATACAATTATAATAAAAGTAACTGAAAAGAAGTAGGTTTCATAACTAAAAGGTGGGTAAGCAGGCAGATTGAGAAGGGACGAATTGTTTTTTAAGTTCTTGGTGCGAATTTAAAAACCTAGTGAGCTTCCTTAGGGAAAGTATCGGACTTGGTATTTTGAAACCCTAAAATTTAGTGTTTTCGAGATGATGAACAAGTCTAACCTTAATTTTGTGAAAAACAAAAAAATTTTATGAACTAAAATTGTATTTATTATTATTAAAATTTATTAATTTTGCTCTCAATAATCTTTTTGAAATTGGTTTAATAAGAAAATATATAAATAAATTGTATTTAAAAAATCAAAAGTAACTTCAGTTCGATGGCTTTGTGCTACCGAGTGTTCTGAACTATTTAAAGAAAACAATGAACTCTGAATTTTTACACAGAAAGAGAGAATCGTGGCTGAGGAAATGGCAAGTGCTTGTCAGCCAATGTTAAGGAACTTTCAAAAAGTTACAATTTTGGACATGAAATATCCAATGGGCCTTATATAAATATGAAAAAGAGCAGTTATGAGAAATTAATAGGCTAATATTAAAAAAGAAAATTTTACATTAATTTATTTACCTGAAATTGTGAATGAGCGTCTCTCAAAGCTCTGATTTCTTCTATGGAGTTACATCTTACAGGGTCTGTAAGATCTTCCTCAGCATTTTCAAACCATGAGTTGAATGCAGATGCTTTTTTGGCAAAAGTTAAATATAATTCTTCGATTTGTCTAAATTGTTCTTGCATCCTTAACAACCTTTGTTTACGGGCTTCTGAATCAGCTAAGAGTTTCTGCCATCTGTATAAATAACAATAAAATTACTTTTATGCACTACTTCACAAGTATGAAGAATTTGATAGTATGGCTACAATTAGATGGCAGCCTGAGGTTGAACACTAAGTTGAAATTAAAATTTTGTTTCCCCCAACTACTGATAATACTTACACAGCAAATATTTCCATTTATTGAAAGATAATATCATAATCTTTTAATTTATGCGTATTTTAGTAAATATTTTGCAAAAAATGTTAAGAGGATTCGAGGAAAAACAAAATATTACTTTCAACTTAGTACCATATGAGTTTGCTTCAGGCATAAATAAATTAACAGAATTGAAGCAGACCTTGCCATTACATCAGCGTGCCGTTTCAATATTGCTTGAGACTGATCGTGGTTTGCAGCTACAAGTTGATCCTTAAGGGATGTTATATTCTGGATTCCTTCTTGCTCAAAAGCGTGCAGACCTAAAAAGAATTTTTTGCTTAAATAACGTCATAAATTTTGTTCATTTTCAATTAAGGTTAAAATCACTTGAAACTTAAGACTATACTAGATGAATTAGTATATGAATTAGTATAATGTCTGTCCTGGTCTGAGGGTTGGTCCCTATGTTTGCACGAGTCACGGATGTTATAGAAGTAGTCCTTTTATCATACTCGACTCAACTCTTATGGCCCTGACCTCGTAAGGATGGGTTTGTGGGTGGTCCTTGCAAGCGTGGTTTCCTATTTCTAGTAAGGTAGAGTATGTGCCCGACATTGTCGAGTTGTTGACTTTTACAAAAGTGGTCCTATCATTTTCAGCTCAATCATTTTATCAATCACAATCCTCTCACACATTGTTTACAGAAAAAAAAGTGAGATTGCTACGAAGGGAAGTAATAAAGACTGAGGAATTACAACGTCAGAGTTAAAAGAATTGTAAATAATATGGAGTGAATTAGAGAGGAACAAATCAGTTTAAATGGACACTATAGATCAATAATGTATGTTGAAAAGGGATTAATCATGTTGACCAGTTTTTGGTAGTCGGTGGAGAATATAAAAAATATATTGAGTAAATGATGCAATATCCATCATTAATGATTTGAGAGTTATTTTCAAATCATAGATATGAATATGCAGAAGTTACGGATATTAAAAAATATAAGATTGCAGCTAAAATAATTTATATCTCTCAAATATGTAAATACAAGAGAATAAACATTACCAGCATCGAAGGTTTCTTGTTTCGTAAGCAAAGTTTGAACAGTGGAAAGATCACGCCCGTATTCTTCATTCCTCACATGACTTTCCTTGTCGGCTACCCACGACTCAACTACATCAGCCTTCCACATAAACTGGAGATAGGCTGAATTATCCATCAGTCTAGCTTTGCGTCTCACCGCCAATGATGATAACATCTCCAGTTTATTCTTTAAAAGAAAAGTTTTATTTCAACAAGTTGAATAATTTACATATGAAACATAAAATTTAGACATATTTTCTTTATTAAAACTTATTTGTATAACAAATTATAATAAAGAATTACCTGCAGCTGAATACACCTCTGAGATATACTGTCAGAATGATGGTTTTTAGCAGCTATCAAATTTTCTCCGGCGCTGCAGATATCGGCACAGCGGTCACGGTGGGCAGCAAAATCTGTTTCAAAAGCATCATGCTTCTTCAACAGACCTTGGACAGCGGCCATAGTGTCACCATAATCTTCGACTGAGAGCAACTGCTGCTTTTCACTGAAAACAAAGTAGACAATGATAATTTATTCAAATATGAGAAATAAATTAAAATCTATTTAATATTTTGACTAATATTGTTAATCAGAGGTAAGAAAAATGGATCATACTGGCATAATCTTTTTTATTATGAAAAATAAAATCAGCCTGGTCAAAGCATTAGATAAAAGCTTAATTAAAAATTTTTATATTTTTATAAAGACAAAACGATCCTTAAAACCTCCATTGATTTTATAATGTGAGGAATTCATTTTACTTATTCCATTGATTCTTCATGCAAGTTTCTTATTAGTTATAAAAATCAAGAAAAAAAAATCCTTAAAAATTAATATTGCAATAAAGTTTACAAGTACTTGACTTGCGTCAACCTGTATATATTAGCTATTTAAGAAGTCTACAAAACAAAAAATATATAATAATAAACACCTAATCCATGCTTCTTCTTCTTCAAGTTTGGCAAGGAACTGCTGGTAAGTTAAAGATTCGTCTAGTTTTTGTCCTCTTGTGGCAGCTAACTGTTTTAATTCTGACCAGGCTTGGTTAAGAAGTTTTAATCTCTGAAACAATATAAAATATTATTAATCATAAAACAAAAATAATTTTTGCTCGAGTAGGGCTACGTAAACACTTAAATGTGTACAGCAATTAAAATTATATCACTGAAGAGAAGTTTTAACCCTATGTTTTTTCAACCCATCTCATTCAGTTTTTTATCACTCTCCATTAATTTTTATAACTTTGAATGTTAGATATTAACTTTCCTAAAATTTTAAGCTTTCAAAAAGTATATTATATAAGTATAAGTACATAAGCATTGATATATCAAGTTCAATCAAAACTGTTTGAGCTGTTTTCGAGAAACTAGTAAAAAAAGTGTAAAATCAATGTTATAAAATGGCAATTCCGGTAAGATTATTTTTGAACTAGACTTTTTGTATACTAACTTTGCTTGTGAAAAATTAGTAATAGTCATATTTGTGTGTAATAGGTTACTTGAACCAAAATATAACAATATAACGAAAGAAAAAAAATACTATATGGTATAATTTAAATCAGACTACAATCATGGATTACATAAATTTGAAAAAATGTGATGAGTTTAATATGATTTAGAAATGAATGTCCGAAACCTGGGATAATGAATAAAAACTGATTCAAAATCAGCATTTTGATAAATGTATTAACTTTATAAAGAATTGGTGTATCATATAAGCCTTTCAGTTGACAAAAGGACTAACTCCAATTTCAACATTTTTTATTATTAATTTTAGTGATATTTCTAGTGAAAAAATGTTTTCCTTTATTCATGGTTCTATATTTCAACACTGCAATCACCTACTCTGGAATAACCTGCTCACTATCTGAACAAATATTCTGAATTTCCCAACTAGAAATAACACTAAAATGACTACTCAAAAATTTTGAAATTGAAGTTAAGTCCTTCTGTCAACTGAAAGGCTCATATATCAGTACATTACACATTAAAATTATTCTTAAAAATATAAACCATCATTATGAGTTATTTTAAACCATTTATATAAGCATAAAACAAAAATAATTGAAAAATTAACCTGTTCAATTTCAGGGACACCCAAATTGGATACATCCATGAGCTTCTCTCCAGCTTCTTGTACAGCCTGAATGGCAGGCTCGTGCGAAGCGAGCTCAGCCTCAAGTCTCTTATGCTTCTTTTTCAGATTCTGAACACCAGTCAAATCTCTACCATAATCATCAGAGCCCACGAGAAGTTTCTTTTCCCTGATAAAAATAATTAAAAAACACTATACTTTATGATAGAATTTGATATATAAATACAAAAAATGCATATTTTATACAATTATCTTAACTGAATTCATTCATACCAACCTAATTAACCTAAATAAATTGTATTTTTTGTACATATAAACTATTTACTAAAAGATACTGATTAATAGTAATATACATTATAGAAAAATCAAACTATTAACTAACTTTATCCATGATTCTTCATCAGCGATATCCCGGAAGAATTGGTGGAGTGTGTTGGCTTCATTAAGCCTAGCCTGACGGTGAGCAGCGAGATTTTTTATACGTTCATACCTTTCATTAATGCTCTGTCTCTTTTCTTGTATACTAGCAGTGTCAAACTGTCCACTCTCGATCAGAGAATCAGCTTGTGAATTCATATCTTAAAGAAAATAAATCAACAATTAAATACTTGAAAATAAATTGACTTCAACTGCCATAAGAAAAAAATCATTTAAAAAAAAAAATCTGCTTTTTCATGAAAAATGATCTATATATCAGATCAAGCAATAAGAGTAGATACCATTAATATTAATATTTATAAATAAATATTTTATATTATTGGATTGGTGCATAGATCGTTAGAGATTTAAAAAAAAGACTAGTATAGCCAAGTGAGAAGCCACATTAGAAATCTATTTTTCTTTTCCTAAATACATCAAGAGCAATATTGGAAAAACATGTTTATTCATATAAACAATACAATATTATCAAAAATGTTCATTTAACACATATAATCGGTGAAGAATAGTTTATGTCCACTGTGTAAGTAACAGTTCACTTGATATGTAAACTATTTTCCTAATTATTAAGAGTGAACTGTATTAGCAACCAAGAAAATTAAAATATGTCCTTTAACAAAATGTGTTAATTTTAATTAAGGGATCTTATGGTTATTCACTTCTTCTATTTATACTTCAATAGACTTGTGATTTATCATAACCATGGCGACTGGGGCATTTTAAGCCAATAAGAACAAAAATCAAGAATGTACCATACAAGCTTTAAAATAACTTTAATTACATTTTCTGTCAACCTTTAATTATAATAACCCCAATATATACTTGGTTCATTCTTTATATTTCATACAAATAAATAATCCCATTTTAGAAATAAAGAGGTTTTTAATAATGTAAATTGCAGCAATGCTTATGAGATAGAATATCAACATAGAAAAAACACAAACTTAAAATAAATTACAAGACTGTTTTACCCACATCACTACATTAAATCATTAAATAACTAATTATAATATGATATAATATATTTTTAACTGTGGGTTGATGGTTGACTGTAGTGAATAATTAAAGAGAAGGTTGGTTGGGGTGATCAGTAAAAATAAATAATTGTATTTATTTTTATATTTGCCGACATCTCGGCCTAAAGTTCAGGCCTTCATCAGGGCTGTTCAATCCAAAAGCGTGGAAAGAATGTCTTATTATAATTATTTTAAGACGGTCTTTCCGCGCTTTTTGATTGAGCAGCCCTGATGAAGGCCTGAACTTCAGGCCGAACCGTCGGCAAATATAAAAATAAATATTATTATTTCTTTTTACTATTTTTTATTTTGACTGATCATTCCAACCATCCTTCTCTTCTATAACATGTTTTTAGTGGAGGATCATTACATATATGTTTGAGAGTAATGAGATTCCATTAAATACGAGTTTAAATCAAAACACTTTCTACACATTAAGAGAAATAAACAGAGCTTTTGTTGATTTATTAGTAAAACGCTGTTATACTGATTCATGCTTATTTACAGATCACAAATATTAAAATTCCATGAGATAATCATAATAAACAAACATAATATTTATGAACAGAAAAAAAATTAAATACCTTTAATTCTGTCATCATGGGCATGGATGTCTGCCTCAACAAGCTGATGTTTCTTGATAAGGTTCTGAACTGAAGCCAGATCTTTGCCAGAATCTTCTGAAGTCAATAACGACTCAACTTCTCCGAGCCAAAAGTCAAGATCTTTCACTGCGGCTATATATGTTCTCTGTTTATTGGCTTCTTTCAGTTTGAGCGACTTTTCAGTTGTTTTTTGGGTCAAGAATTCCCATTGCTCTGCAATTGATGACAACCTTGCCTAAAATCATAAAATAAAATAATGAAAACGAGAAGAATAACATTTAACAAAATAGCTATATATATTTAAAAATACATACATGTACTGCATCTTCAGAACCAGCACATTGGTGCTTATCAATCAAGTTCTGACCCATGGCCAAAACGCTCTGGATACGATCAGCATTAGCAGCCAACTCTGCCTCGAAAGCTTGATGTTTTTGATGCTTTGATTGGATGTTAGCTGGATCCTAAAATTGTAAATGATGAATATCAAACAATCCTATTTAAGCAATTTAAAATATACGTTAAATCTTTATTTAAAAAACAATGACACAAAAGATCGAATAGTGTTTAGATGTAATTGCAATTAACACACATTCTTGATTAGTTTCATTAATACGTAATGATTACCTTATAACTCTCCTCAGTAGCCAATTGCAGTTTTTCTGCAATCCAATTTTCCATTTCATCAGCATCTCGACTAAACTGCTGCAGAGTTTGACTCTCACCTAAACGCGACCGTTTTTCAATGAGAGCTTCCTTCAAATGCCTCCATCTGTCTAATACTTGACGTCTCTTGTCATCAATAGCCTGAGCAGCATAATGGTCAGCAGCCATCAGCTGATCAGCTAAGGTCTGAAGAGCAGCTATTTTTTCTTCCTAAAGTGATTACCAACCATTATTTTAGTTAAAAAAAGGACAAATAAAAATATATAATTTTATTAATAATCTAACTAGATATTTTCTTAATTAGCCTAGTAGTAAGTTTAAAGTAATATATTGAACGAGAAGCATAAGATCTATAATTTAAAAAAACTAAAAAAAAATATTGTAAAATAAATATGAGGAAAATAAAACAACAGTCCATTAAACAAAAAATTGAACAGCTGTATTAATTCTGAAACAGCTACAAACATTAAGGAATGATACTTCTTGGTGATTTTCAATTAATAGGTGAAATTCTTATTACATTAATAACCCCCCCCTGTTAATAAAACCGATTCTCAAGAATACTGGGATATTTACTAATTGTATCTTCAAAACATGTACCATTTCAATATAAAAATAATATAAATATATTACATGAGCATTAATAGCTTTGTCGAAATCTTCATGTTTCTTTATCAAAGCTTCAACATTATCTCCCTTGGAATCAACCTCTTCAGCTGACAAGAAAGCTTCCCTGGCAGACATCCAATTTTCTGCTTGTTCGCAGTCTCGATAAAATAATTGAAGCTCCAAACATTGATCCAATTGCATACGTCTTGCAATCCAGGCTCTGAGGAAAAATGAATTTACAGAATGTTAACAATTAAATTATATTCGAACGTTAAATATATATTTAGATGCCTAAAAACCATATAGTCACTAACTTCTCAAGTTCTTGACGAGCCTCAGCCATGCTTTCCAACTTCTCTTGAATTTCCACACTGGCATAATGACCGCTCTGGAGTAATTGTTGACCAAACAACTCAAAAGCTTGAAATGTGCCAGTCCTAGCATCTATCTCAGTCCGGTGCTCCTAAAAAAAAAAAAAAAATAAATTAACAGAATAATTGTTTAATAAGATTAAATCTTTTAAATGAAAATAAAAAAAAAGAACAAAGTTAACCAAAATAAAGCTTTAGTTAAGTTGTTAAAGCTTCATCATATTATTATATCAAAATTTAGTACAATAACTTTGAGGTGAAAGTTACAGCTGGGAAAAGTAGGAAAAGATTTGCCATCAACATAAAATAATAAAGTGGAAAATCTAAAATTACATTTTTAAAGAATAAAACGTAAAACATTTAAAGAAAACAATATGGTTTAATCAAAGTTTGGGAAAAAGAAGAAAAACAACCTAAAAATCAATAATATTAGTATAATACTCCATGTTAATCAGAAAAGAAAAAAAAAACAATCGCAGTTAAGTCTAAGATTTCATTTATTAAATAAAACATAAAAAACAAAACATCGGCGTTTATATAAAGGTACCTGAGTTACGCCGTAGTGTGCATCTATCTCTGAACGATAATTCTAAAAAAAGAAATATTTTCTTAACCCAATTAATACCAACTGTTAGTAATAACTTATTTTGATAGTATATATATTTTTTTATAAACATTATATCTTCAGACTAGTTACAAAGATTGTTAATTAGTCAAGAAAGTAGTTTACAGTAACAACATGAATTTAAAAAAAGTAACACGGATGAATTCCATTTTGCAGTTACAAATAGTAGTTTTCCATTTCCATTAAAATTTAGTTTTGAACGAAGGTTTCATTTTTGCTACCAATGATTTATAGATAAATATTAATTATACAAACAACAATAGAATAATCTTAGCTAAAACTCAGTGATTTTAATTAATCAATATTTGGGAAACATAGATAGCATGAATAAAAATTAGATACAATTCAATTTCACTAATAAAATCATGCCTCTTTCTCTTCAAAAACTGTACTTGGTTTTCGAATATTAATCATATACCAAAAATTGAGATTTCATGAGATAAAATGTCTATGTCATTTATTTAATTTAAAAAAAAACTGCTTAGTATCTGTTAAGAAAGTATAGTTCAAGGAATTCATAAATTTATATCCTTTTTTTTTTAGCGATGTTAAGGTACAATTTCGCTAGTATTGCCCTAGGCAGCGACTGCTTGCGGTTGAGAACTGCTTTGACTAAATTCTATTCGACTGACGAGAAAGAAACATATTTCGCTGGCATTGCGGTCGGTAGTCTAGGTAAGACGTCACATCTACACTGCTCCTTTCTGACCGCTTCTAAAGCAGTGAATCTGTTGGGAGAACAGCGGTTATAGGTTATCATATCATATCGTAGCATTGTTAAGGTGATAACATTCACCTTAATACATTTATTTTTTTTTTATCATCAAGTTAGGCAAAATTAAATGAAATATTGTTTAAAATTTTAACAAAACTATAGTAAATCATTTTTAAATGTTGAAGTAACAAGATTATTTATTCCACCAAAAGTATTTTACAGAGAAATTCAAATATACCTAGATCCAAATGACATTAAATAAATTAAATAACCCAATAAATTTTAACTTCAGTTAAATATTCAAAACCAGACATTGAAAAATCAATTCGTATTTTTTTAATTAAAGCACTGATTTACTAATTACCTATTGATAAAATGGTAAAATATTGCCTGCTGTGGTTTCATTACAAATATATGATATTTATTACTAATCAATTATGTAATAATTACTGTTATTCATCAAAATAATAGTTAGTAATAAATTTAAAATCGGAGATAAATTGTCTGTTCTTAAAATAATGCTTTATCATCTTATTAGTACCATGAATGATTATATTTGATATTCAAAATATTACACGAAATAATAATTTTGTAGAAGGCGGGAATTAATATGTGGATAATTGTTAACATTTTATAGTACAGACATAACCTAACCTTTTCAACTTTAACTAACAGAAAAAATGGCATGTATTAGTTAAATAAGATTAAAACCTCACCATCAAATCTATTGTTATCCTTCCGATACAAATAAAAATTATTAAATTTAAGGCTAACATTTTTATTTAAAATTACATCAAACTAGGACGCTAAATTGAGAATATTTGTCCGCGACAGTGAGCAGTTTCAGCGAAATAGACAGTTGGCATTAGCATTAGCAGATGAAGTATGGAATTGCGGTCCCTGCCATGGGCAGTACCATTGAAATAGTACCTCACTTAATGTGTCCTAAAAAGCCCTGGAACTGAATTAGTGAAAATATTAATCCAACTTAAACTAGCTAAAAATAATTATTTTGATTCCCCCAAAAAAATTTTTATTACAAGTTAAAAAATGATCATATATAATGCTAAGAAGTGTATTTTTGAAATTATATTACACAATACATATTTAAAATATAGGAAAAGAAAACTGCTATATATAGGAAAAAACAATCATACCTGATGCCTTTCAAGGAGAGCCTCAGCCCCTGTTACATCAGATGCAAGTTCATCGCTTGAAACAAGACCCATCATTGAATTTATCCAAGACATCAAATCTCTGTAATCAGATAAAAATCTTTGCAAATCATAAGAATCGAGTAACTTTTCTTTTCTTGAGTTAGCTTTGGCAGTCAACTGAGTCCATTCTTCATTAATATCTTTCTGTTTAGCATAAGTTTGTTCAGCAGTTTCTGGATGATTTTGCATTAATCGATTTGCTGTTTCATCCAACTGGCGGATCTGTTAAAAAAAATCAAATCCTTAATATCCAAAATTAAAAACTAAAAATAAATAATTCAAAATAAAAAATATTCAATTAATAAATTATGATTTGCTAACCTTATCTCCTAAAGCAGCTAGATCCCTCTCAAGTCCTTCGTGCTTCCTTTGTAAAGCCTGCACACTTCTAAGATCTTTTCCAAGGTCATCATTATTCAAAGCTTCATCTTTTTCTTGTATCCAATCTTTAGTTTCATCAACATCTCTATGGAATCTCTGGACTTCATGAGCGGAACCTAACTGGGTTGCTCTCTCTTTGGTCAACTGTTGCAGGGATGTCCATTTCTCATTCAGTTCCTGTAAATAATAAATAATAAGGCGTTTTGTTTCAATATAAAAATCACTTAACAATTCTTAAGTGTAGATAAACAGTATAGAAACCAGACAGCTTCTGCTAAAAACTAAAAATCTTTCCGTTAACACCTCATACAGAGTATAAATCAGTATTATAACTGACTGATCATTCTACAGCATGGTGAATAATATATTATATCACATTATAAGATTTGGACATTATGCTATATCAAGAATTAATTTTAATAAGAAAATTAAAGATTTGAGAAATGGAATGAATTTTCAACGCTAAATTGCAAGTGAAACTTCCTCACAAACAAAAAATGGCTATTTAAGCATTGGGACAGTGCTATAATGAAGAAACCATGAAAAAATATTAAATTAATATGTTGGATATATCTTAGTGAGTTGAGTGAGAAAAAAAGGGATTAATTTGTTTGGTATGACATAACAAAAATGGTCTGTTGGCTTCTTGTCTAGTCTGTATTAATTAAAAAAAAGAAAATACCTGAAGTTGAGTTTGAATCTTCACAGCTGCTTCAGTTTGTCCTAAGGTCATCATTTGTACAGCTATTTCATTCATCTCAGCAAGACGAACTTCATTGGCTTTTAAATCTGACTGGAAGTCATCGAACTTCTTCTGCATTACTTCAACCTGTTCAAGATCTTCCCCAATATCCTGAACCTGAGCATGATTTTCCTAAAAGATGAAATCATTTTTTTAATTCTGAATCATATCGTTACATTTTAAACAAATTAAAACAAACTTAAATTACTTTATCCTTAATCCAGGTAGCAAGCTCAGCAGCTTCCCTAACGAGAACGTATGCTTTGACTGTCTCATTAAGCTTGTTTTGCCTCTCTTTTGCCATATCGAGTAAATTCTTGTACTGAGCATCTATCTGAGCTTGTCGAGCTGAAATAGAACTGCCATCGGCTAGATTTTGTTGAGATGCAGTAAGTCCAGCTTCCATCTTTTTCACATACGCAGCAGGAACAAAGCCTTGTCGGTCGTTTACCTCAACTTTCCACCAATCCTAGAAAAATTAAATAAGAACTTCAAAATAAAAATGAAACACTTATTGTTAATGAAAATAATTAAAACTAAATCAAAATTATACCATTACTTAAAGTAATATCATTACTAGTCTCAAATAATGCTCAAAAAATAGAATTATACTCAAACAAATAAGGTACATAAAATAATTTCCACAAAAATGGAAAACAAAAAACCTGTTTTGGATTCTTTTCAGTAAGTATTTTATTAGTTTAGAAGAATAACTTTCATTAAGATTTTTTGCTTACCTTGTTATTAGAATTGAGGAGAGTAAGAACATCTCCTTTCTTCATGGACACTTCACGGGGAGATTTTTCAGTGTAATCATATAAAGCCATAACACATTCTTTGCCAGTGACATCAATAACTGGTGTTTCTTGTTGCTAAAATAATAAATAAATAAATATATATGTTTAAGCTGTAGAGTTTATAAAACAAATCTACATTTGAACATGCTGGTTACTACTCAAGTGATGATAAAATAAAATACCCTGCATGATTCTGCTTGTTCTCTAAGTGATGTAATCGTGTTTCCAAAAGCTTCCAGATCAGAAACCAAGGCTTCATGCTTCTTCAGTAATGCTTCTGCAGAATCTTCATCCTTTCCAAAGTCCTGATTTACAACCATGGGTTCTTTTTCTTTCATCCAAGATTCTGCTTCATTGGCATCAGCAAAATATTGATGAGCCTGGAGAGAATCTTCAAGATCTTGTTTCCTCTATGAACAACAATAGTTTAATCATTTTTTTGTTTAAATAAATATCAAGTACAATATCAATTAGGTATGATATTGGTGTTGTAATTATTTTGACTCTACTCACCTGCAAAGCCTTTTCTTTCAATTGGTTCCAATGACTATCCAGTTCTTGTATTCTTCGCTTAATATCTTCTATCGCAAAATGCTCTTCTTCAATCATTTGATGAGCTGCCTGGTCTACAGCAGCAATTCTACTCTCATGATTATTTATTTCAGCAAGAACTGCTTGGTGCTTCTTCATTAAATTTTGTACTCCAATTAAGTCTCGTCCTGAATAAATCAAGAGTAGACAGTAGTCAAATAAGATAGAATATCATTTCTTAACAATCACTGACCTAATACTAGATAAAATGACCTAAGTGTTATCAAGAAAACTACAATAAACAAGAACGCATTAAAACCGTTATAAAAATAAGGTTCGAAAAATGAAAATGAGGGTATCATAATCCAGATTTAATTTTAAAAACCAAAGTATCAACGATTAATTAACAGAATGAAAGAGAAAAATCAATGAAAGAGAACTTAATTAATGTTGTGTTAATCTTAACTTTTTTTGGTCAACAATTTAAAAAAAAAATAATTTCTTAATGCATGATTCATAACCAATTGATATGTTAATACATTAAATCTAAATAGGTTCAATAATTAAATAAAGCGGCAATCCTCACATAAAAACATAATTATTTATATTTTTCTTATTGGCTTATATTTTAATTGAAATATAGAGCAAAATCAATCTGCTAGTGCCATCTAATACAATACCATATTTTAGAAAATAAGTACCTACAAACTAATCTGTCTTTAAAAAAAAAAAAAATACACCGAATCGGGGGAAAAAAGAAAAGGAAATCCGTTTCTATTATTCTAAAATTATATTTGATATTATACTGAAGGGAGAGCATTCTAATTTAAAAAAGTCAAAAATTGTTCACAAAATAATGCATTAAATGTGAGAAACGATTTTATTGCTAATTATTGAGCAGCATGTACCTCTGTTAGTGGACGCTGCGACGGGTTCTTTCTCCCTGATCCAAGCTTCTTCATCTTCTATGTCTCTGTATAGCTGCTGGACTTGCAAAGAGTCGAGAAGTTTTTGTTTCCTGATGCTCATTGGCTTCTGCAAAGCTGCATAGCGTTCTGTCACTGATTCCTGTAATAAATGAATAAATAGAAACGGTGAGAATATCATAAAAATGAAGCAAATTTTTTTTCTAGAAATAGAATTGATGTCACAATTATGTTTGAGAAGTAAGAATTAATAGTAATATTTCATATCTTTCATAACTTAGTCAACATAATTATCAACGTATTCTTAACCTGTTAACTGGGGAAAACAAGTGATTGATTGCGAAAACGTAAACAATATGCTCTCATATAACCATGCTAGAATTTAATAGGTAAGAACTACATAAAACTTGATGCGTTCAAAGTACAGAAGTAGTTCGAGTATGAAAAAATACTTCATTATAGCCAGTTAACAGGTTAAATTGCCTACTTTTATATAACTCTGTAAAAATAATTACACTTAAAAAATATTAATGACATACCTGTTTTGCTTTAATGTTGTCGGCATCAAAATGTCCCTTTTCTACGAACTGATTAGCAGCAACTCTAATGCCTTCGATTCGGTCCTGATGAGCACCAACATCTGCTTCCAATAAAGCATGCTTCTTTTGTAAATTTTGGACACTGGTGAGATCCTAAAAAATAAATAAATAATAAAATATACAACTGATATTCTTTTAAATAGAATTAAACTCCCAAAAAATCAACAAGACAATTAGCATTTTTAACATTTACCAAAGAATTTGAATTTTGAATTTGAATTTAAGGCAGTATTTTAAAGTATCAAATCAAGAGGTACAACACTTATTTTTAATTCAGACAACAAATTTAAAGTTTTAGTAAAAACTGTTAAAATAATTTAGTTTTGTTTAATTCATCGATAACTCATGGCTTATTACCTTGCCATAGTCTTCACTATGAAGTTGTCCTTCAATTTCAGCAAACCACAACTCGATGTCTTCTACTGTTCTGTTAAACTGTTGCTGTTGTGAAGCTTCTTGAAGCTTTGATCCCTTCTTTTCTGTAGCAGCAACAAGAACTTCCCAAAGTTGAATTATTTCATCCATCCTTGTCTGGATACGATCTAAAATAAGTTTTAATTAGTAAAAAAAAAAATTTGATACTTTTGTAACTAAGCCGATGAGCAGCTACAAACCAGAAGCATAATGGTTAGATTCAATCAGCTCTTGTCCTGTGCTAGTGATTTCTTCCATTCGAGAAGTATTAGCATTGAGCTCTTGTTCAAAATTTTGCTGTTTCTGCACTTTACCATTGAGATTAGTTGGATCCTAGAATGAAATGATTCTTAGAATACAATAATAGATAACATGAAATAATGAATTCGATATATTTATATAACAAAGCAATGACTGAAGTAAATTTAAAACATTAAAACAAAATTTACCAAATAGTTGTCATCAGTAGCGAACTTCAATTTCTCATTGATCCACCCTTTTGTTTCATCACAATCACGTTCGAACTGTTGAAGTCTAAATGAATCATCTAGAATAGCTCTCCTTTCAGCTGACTTATCAAGTAAAGCAGACCTCCTTTCCAAGAGCTAGAAAACAATAACAAAGTAAGAAAACTGAAGAAAAAATATAAGATATGCTTATATAATAGATAGCTGAATATTCCTACCAAAGACCTCCTCTGTGCTACTTCATCAGCAGCATAATGCTGTCCTTCAATAAGTTTAGTTGCAAACTCATCTAACGCCTTTATCTTCTCTTCTTGAGCAGCCAATGATTTTTCAAAGTCTTCATGTTTCTTTATCAAAGCTTCAACTGAATCCAATGAGTCACCCAAGTCATCATTAGCAAGGAAAGCCTGATGAACGAAACAGTGATAAAATTTTTAAGTATGCCTCAGCATATATGTTTAATATTATTTTATAGGCAAATTTAATAACTTTTATTTTTAAGAATACATTTCATCTTAAGAAAAGAAAATCATAGGACGGATACCTCCTGCTTAGCCATCCATGTATCAGCTTGCTCAGTGTCCCGGTAATATAACTGAAGGTCCATGCACTGTTCATTTAATAACCTTCTTTCGTTCCATAATGAAATTAATGCTGCTTTCTCTGATTCGAGCATTAACAACTTTTCTTTAACTTCAGATGAAGCATAGTGATTCCTTTCAAGCAACAATTCTCCTGCTTCTGCAGTAGATCGGAAACTGTCCTCTCTAGCATCAATTTCGCCCTAAAATTTATATAGATTCATAAAATTAATTAAATGAAATTACTAAAATACTACATAATACAAAAGCATTGTCAAAAATTACTTTGTGCTCTTGATGTCTTTCGAGCAAAGCTTCAGCACCAGCAACATCTTTTGCCAGTTCATCAGCAGAAATAATAGCTTTCATGTCATTAATCCAAGAAATCAAGTCCCTAAAGTCTGCCAAAAATCTATGTAAATAATAAGATTCGTCAAGCTTCTGTCTTCTTTCCTAAAATAGTATACAATTATTTTACTAAATCAACATAAAAATAAAATGGATATATGTATGTATAATTTTTTAAATAATAATCTAACAATCATTCCTATGATGTTTTTTTCATATTCCATAATTCTTCTTATTTTATTTCTATTGACATGACTTTTCTGAAGTTAAGTAATTTCTGATTAAAACAGTTCCTCGTTCTTTTTACCTCTTTTATTAGAAGAGATATTATAATAAAAAAATGACCATTTATATCTATTCAATAATTTCATCATAGAATTTGATAAGTGCATTTCAACACAGTTATAAACTAAATTCCGTGAATATTTACTGTTTTAAATTCAACATAGTTATTCAAAAATATTGTTAACTAACTCTGTCAACGTATTTTAAATTAATAAAGAGCTGATATTTACGTTGGTTATACTTATTTTTATCAATGACGTATAACACTGTTTAAAAAGGAAAACAAGCTTTATATATTAGGCGTCCTTAAAGATTAAAAGGTATGAGTGGAAAAAAAGAGAATAAAAAAAAAAAATGAGTTGCTTAAAACATTATTTATTTATTACTGAATAAATGACAAATCCAAAATTGAAGAAGAAACTAAAAAACTTACTTTGGCTTTTGCTGTTAGGCGTTCCCAATATGAAACAATTTCTGCTCTTTTAGCCTGAATTTGTTCCGCATGGTCAGCATGGATGGCACAAAGCCTATCTGCTTCCTTACCCAAGGTCGAAACCTTATCTTCTAAAGCAGCCAAATCACGCTCTACACCCTCATGTTTTCTCTAAAACAATCCAATCGGTAAATTTAATACAAATTTAAAAAATAGTAAACATTTAAAGGGAGTAAAGAAGTATAATAGTTACTTGTAGTGTTTGAACACTGGCTAAATCACGACCATAATCATCAGATGAAAGAACGACATCTTTTTCAGCGATCCAAGCAACTGTTTCATCAGCATCACGATTTAAACGTTGAATTTCATGCGCACCAAATAATTTTTCTTGTCTCATCAAGGCCTGTTGCTTCAATCTTGACCATGCTTCATTAAGTTCCTAGGCAAAGAAATAAAATTATTTATAGAGCTAACAAATAATACTAAAATTAACATTATCTGATCACTGCCTACTCTTTACTGTTACTGAATACATTTATTCAATAAAAAATTGATCTGTCATGGATCTGTCATAGTTGCTTTTATTGTAGTCTGTGACTGCATATGAACATGATTGAGAATACAAGTGATTCTCTAGAATAAAATTTGAAAGACAGAATGTTGAGGAGAAACAGATTTTTCCAAAATTAGAAAAATGGAAAAGCTAATTATGAAATACATTGAAATAATTAAACTTGATAGCCACAAAACTAAATTTGTAGCTTCACCAATATAGGAAGAAATATAACTGGTTAGAACTCTCACCTTCCAGATTTTTATGAACCAAATTAAAAAAATTTATAACAATGTCATAAAAAACCATCAATGAATGCATTTATGCCTATCTGTCATTTACAAATTTTAATTGTACAAAATGACAAAATTAGTGTTATTATAACTAATCATGTTATAATAGCACCTTCCATTATAAGCACTATTTTTCTTTATTGTACACTTGAGGACTTTGGTCCTTTTACTCAAAATTTTGCCTTCATAGATTGTAAATCGATATACAAGGTTAAGACTATATATGATTAATGAAACCAACCTCTTTCCGTTTTAGAATAGTTTCCCTTTCAGGGTGTCCATCGGAAACAAGTTTATCGGCAAGCTCGTTAACTTCAGTGACACGGTATTCTTGAGAAGCCATGTCTTTTTGAAATTCGTCAAACTTCCTTTGAAGCACTTCAACATGTTCCAAGTCTTGCCCGAACTCATCAGTTGTTACAAACATTTCCTTTAAGACAAAAAAAAACAAAAAAAAAACGATAAAAAATAGAATTAAAAAGTATACTTAAACCATATACCAAAACATTAATGATGATACCTTATCTTTGATCCAAAACATGACTTCGTCACATTGTCTCAGAAATTGAACAAGGACCAGAGCTTGCTGAAGCTTCATTCCTTTCTCTGCAAGCTTTGATAGAAGGAGATCCCAAAGTTGATGTAGTTCATCTTTAAAAAAATATATTCCATTATTTAAATTTTTAATTAAAGGAAACCATGATCACAAACATAGCCATATGTATCAATTTCCTAAATTTGATGTATTAAAAATTATTTCTATACTGAAAAATAAGGGTTGAACTTAATGTTTTATCTTTTTTTCCAACAATTACATCAAGTTAAAATGCGAGTACTAAATAAATATCTGTTCAACAAGACAAACAATGTACTGAAGGATTAGTCCAATCATAGTATACCTAGGAATAACTACTCTTCGAATAAACAAAGAAAAGGTTCAAACAATGTCCAGTTACAATTTTAACAAAGAATTACTAAAGGAATAAAAATTGTCAATATGATAAAGAATAACAGTAAACCATTATAAAATTGGAAAGTGAACAAACAACCCATGAGATTTAATATTGTAGTCTATGATATGAGTAAGGTTTCCTGGTAGCAGGAATATACCAGTTATATATGAGATCTTATTTAAAAGGATACGTCATATTTAAATTTAATCAGGATAACAGCATAGAACAGGGGTCTCCAAACTACAACCCGCAGGCCAGATCTGCTCTGCAAGCACCTCCAATCCGGTCCGCTAAAGTTTCTTTGATTACATAGGAAAATTTTAATAAATACGGAATTAAGTAAATTAATCAAATAGGAGGTTTCTACACCATTTATTGCATGAATTGTTTCTCTAAAAAAGCTCATTTATTTATTACAAGCCAGGGGTCGGAGGATTTAGTGGAGGTCTCAATGAGGCCTGCAAGACTTAGTCCAACTTTTCAATATCGCCCCCGGGCTAAAAAGTTGGGAGATCCCTGGCTTAGAGGAAGAAATTCAATGACAAATTGTCTCAGCAAATCAAATCTATTTCTCCCTCTGAAAACATTTAAGAAGCGGTTCTTTGTCCAACGGATCGAAGAAAAGGATTCAGAAACAATCATTCCGCCATTGCTAACTCACAGATCAGAATGTTGAACCATGACTAAAGCCTATGAGTAAGTCATTTGAAATGAAACTCCTCCATTGAATATAAGGTAGAATATTTAAACAAAGCACCTACAAAAGAAGGACAATTACCAAATTAAATACAGAATATAAGGGAGTGGATGTATCTACATTCATAAAAGTATCAAGACATCGACGGACTGGTTACGTTGCACAAATAGACCTGAACGAAATATCTTTCAGGATCCTATTGAAACAATTTCATGGTACCAGACGAGTTGGATGTCCAACGTTGAATTGAGAAGACTAATGCAAATGCAAGATCTCTGCTTGACGTGAGAAGCTAGAGCAGCAACACAGATTAGGAAAAATAGCAGTCTATGATAGAGGCTATGATTCAACAAATGAGTCACAATGCCGGAATTATAGTAGTAGTATATGTATATAAAAAAAGTTAAAATGAGGATTGATTAATTTAAAACTTTCAGTAGTCTCATCAATATTGACCATTGTTAAAGAATAATTGGAATTTTTTTTTTTTTTAATGAAAGCAACTTCTGAAAGAATTGTTATCATTAATTAAACACATTTATGCTTACATCATAGCACATTAGGAACAATTCCCTAAATGCGGAAGATGATAGTATCGAAAACAAATAGATTAAAACAAGAGAAGCGGTGAGGACCAAGCTTGTTATGATGACCCTGCAGGACAGCAAAGGTGTGGTGAAAATTCAAGCTGAGTTTTCTAAAGAATTTGACATCCAGAAAGGTGTGAAACAGGGAGATTCTCTTTCCCCAGTATTGTTCAATTTGGTGTTAGAAGCAGTCATGAGATCGATCCGCACAAAGTCAGGAGGATGTATATATGACAGAATGACTCAACACTAAGCATTTGCGGATGACATAGTCATTACAGGAATGACATCCAATGCACTCTTAGAAGCCTAAGAGGAGTGTGAAAGAAGCTGCAAAAACAGCAGGACTGGTCATAAATAAAGACAAAACTAAATATGTGTTAATAACGAGTGAGATGAAAGGCACTGTTATCACTAAGAATAAAAACATAAGAGTAGATATAAATGGAAGGATCGCAGCTGGTAATAAGTGTTATTGGTCAATAAAAAAAATCTTTCGAAATCGTGATATACTAAGAGCTCTCAAAATAACAGTATATAAGACGGTCTTGCAACCAGTAGTTATATTTGGAAGAGAGTGCTGGACACTCACACTCAAAGAAGGAAATCTTTGGTGTATAAAGACAACTGATGAGTTGAAGAAGCTATACAATGTCCCACACATTATATCCACTATTAAGAGGAGAAGGTATAAGATGGTTTGGTCATGGGCAAAGAATGAAACATGGTAGGTTCCCTAAAATGATGTTGGAGGGACATCAGGGTGGAAGAAGGAAAAGAAGAAGGCCTAGACTTTGTTGGCTGGAAGATGTTGAAAATGATCTAAGGACCCAGGATGTAGGCAGATGGAGAAGGGCGACTGAAGACAGGTCGATTTGGAAGAAGATAGTAAAGGAGGCCTAGATTCTACAACGACCATCAGATGATGATGATGATGAATTAAGCATTAAACAACTTAATTAATTAAGTTCAAACAACATTTATGAATAAAATATTACATTATAATTTATATAAATGGATGTTTACCAAGCCTTTTGCGAATCACCTCACTAGCATAATGACCCTGATTTATCATCTCCATTCCAGTGTTGTCAAGTACTACAATGGCATTACTATGTGCAGCAACTTCAGCTTCAAAAGCTAGATGTTTCTGAATCTTAGCCTAAAAAATATAAACAAATAAGGAGACTTTAAGAAAAAAATATTATCAACATTCTGGTGTAACTTTCAAAATAAAACTTAGTTTCAATAATTTTATTATTAATTTTTGTTTTCAAAAACAGATACTATACCTGTAAGTTTGTAGGGTCTTTGTAACTTTCATCAGATGCAGCCTGCAACTTTTCGTGTATCCATGATTCGAGTTCATCGGCATCTCGTTTAAAATACTAAAAAACAAAGAAAAAAAAAATCAACAATCAATGGTCTTTTAAAAAATAAGCTAATTATTAAGGTATAAGATGAATGATTGAATTAGTAGCGATAACTGTCCTAAAAAGAATTGAAATTATACTTCATGATATAATACTAATAAATTAAAAGTGTTAAGAATTCAGAAAGTATCAAAAAGAATGTTACTAAGATTTGATATAATGAAAAAATAATAGATATAAATAAATTTAGATAAGAAAAGTATTGTCTCCGTTAAGGATCATATGGGAAAGCAGGACTTTAAAAAAATAGTTCTGATACAAAAAGGTACAAGAAAGATCACAAACCAAAGTTTAAAACAAAGAAAGTCTTGTTAGAAAATGTACAATGATGAGCACAAGTCATGAAAAATGAATATAAGATTTCCAAATGGGTCATCTAAGATTCTGAGATATTTAGTAAAACGTATTCCAAATGACTATAAACAAAAAAAAATAAAACTAATTGGTGAAATGGACTTTGATATTCAATAAGGAAATTCAATCTTCAACATTTTAAATAAAAGGTTTCCACAGAGAGAGGTGATTTAAGAAATCAATGAAACAACACTACACATTCTTTCATTCAGACAGTGTCCCATAAATCAAAACAAAAAAAATAAGTCTTTATTACAGAAAGGTAGAAAGAGAGATAGGAAAAAACAGCTCATATCAAAAATATGTAACCCACTTAAAACTATAACAAGTTATATAAAATTATCATAAATAATACAAACAAATTAAAAACACTAATTTAACACTCTATTAAAAAAGAGTTTATTTGAATTATATCAAATTACATATAAAAATGAGATCTGTTGGTTAAACAATGCTGGCATTAGCTTGTTTTACTTTCAACAGATATACAGAGAAACAAAGGCCATTATTGTCTGAGGAAGTTGGGACTTTGTCATACATTTATTTTATATTTTCTTAGTTGAATAGTACTTCTTGTCGGTTTATTTCAAAAATTCACCAAGTACACTTTTGATAGAGCTACACATTTAAGTATGTTTTTGTTAATGTCAACCTAATTTATCAATACAAAACATAGTAAGTGTATCAAAATGAGATAAATCCTTTAATTCATTACAAATTCATTTTAAAAAATTATTACATATGTGCATGAAGTTCTGATTTCACACAGAGAAAATTTGTCAAAGTGCTGAGTGATTTACTTTGATGAAATATTACTTCATGACTTTTTGCAATACAAGGAAGATGTGTTTTGAATTTTTTTTTATTATATATCAGGCACTGTAATTGGGAAATATTCCTGTAAATGGAAATCTGAAATTAAATAAATGACATTTTAAATTCTAATGTAGATATATAAATACAATAATAACTATCTGTGCCCCGCGGTATCACCCTCGTTAAATTTGTTGTGTACAATGAGTTGAAGCTATTTATAAAGTTTCAGGTGGACGTTAATAATTTGATAAAAAAAGTGTCTGTACCATGACTGTTATTGGAAAAAAAAAATCCTAATACTTCAAGTTTTATTCTCCGGCACTCACACTGCAACAATAAGGTGACAATACATTTCCGTGGTCTCTGAGTTTTCCAAGTAAACTTAGTAGAAATTATTAAAGGATTACAAAATAGTTCATTAAATCTGAATAAGTCATGTTAGTTATTTATCACTCATTACAATTCAAAAACAAATGACTCCCAAGATAATGAAAAACCAATGAAGACAGAAGAAACTGTCATAAAATAGTAGAATGAAAAAGAAAATTTCTTTTTGAACTTGAAAACAGTAATTATGTAATGTACCAAAAAGTTCAAACAAAAATGATGTACTTCTATCAATAATTTGAAATTTTAATTTTTTTGATATACAATTATATGTTTTGTATGACCACTGTTCTTATAAAAATATATTATTTCTCATAAAAGTATTTTTTAATTGTAAATTTTAAAATAAATGTTTTTTAATTAAGTAGACGATTTAATTTATATGACTTATAGAATACAATTTTTATCTGTAAAGTTTTGTTATTTATCATATTTGACTTCCCATTTCTCTAAATCAGATATCCTTCTATACAGGATAAAATGTGTGTACCACTGTAGAAATGTCACTCCAGCTTCTTCAATGGGTGAAGATCTCTTAAATGCGATATAAATAAAATTTAGTGAATAACTGAAGATTTATGTATTCATAGAATACCCTTTGTTAAGATTGCAATTTAAGACTTCCGCAAACCCTCTCCTGGTTCTTTTTAGTTAAAGTTTAGATCTTAATTAGCTTTAATTACATTTCTGCTTTAGACTCCAGCTTCCTATGCCCTATATAAAGGGATAGACAAACCCACAACAGGTCCTTTTCAGTGAAGATTGGGACGTGACAAGACGGTTGAGTCACTTCTATCTACTTTTGAACATAACCAGCCATTCTCAGGATTACATTTATGTCATGACCATAAGATCTTTTACAACCGACCAAAGTGGAGGGACGTTTGTACATTAGTACCAAAATTTGATTTCTCATGAGTCCGCTACTGAGAAGTTTTACTGTGTACGATATCTATTACTGAAATTAAAGCATTAATAATGGATAAGCCCACCCCTAATATGTTAACAGATATTTTATGAATTACAAGAAGTTTAGATTAATTTAAGTTACTGATACAAATGGTTTCAGAATGAATATGTGAATCATTCCAGATAGTTGAAATGATTTTATAGAATATAAAATTAATTTATTGAATAATAAATCTACTGAACTATATCTGGTGGTTTATATCACATTTCAAATTCCAGAAAGAATGTAGCTTTTCATTTTGAATCTATATATACTAAAAACTCAATTTACTCATATGCACATAACTAAATGATATCATAATTAAACATTATCACTGTTGGACATCATTGAATGTAATGTATCGATAAAAGAAATAAGGAATACTAAGCAAAAAGAAGTTCTTGACTTACTTGAAATCGACGCGAATCTTCAAGCTTCTGACGTTTTGCTCTGGCTTCAGATTTAAATTCACCATATCGAGATAGAACTTGTTCTCTCCGTTCCTGTATATCATCAGCAGTTTCTAGGATCCTCACCTCTTTGGGAGTGATCTGATCCATGGTTGGTTATTGACTTTGTTATCTGTAATCGGACAAGGTTCTTCAAGAACAAGTAAACAATTAATTTTTAACTAGTAAATAATATAATGTATGTATCGCTGGCGCATAAAACGACAAAAACTGAAAATATACAATTAACTATTTACAATGTTCAACAAAATTAAATATTAATTCTTAAAATGGGATTTCTAAATAGGTCACTGTTTCCTGTTAATTGTTCTTAACAAGCAAACAATTAACAAATAATTAATGTAAATACTTTAATAATGATTAGTTAATTTACCTAAATGAAAAAAAGGAAATCATAAACTTAATATTGATTATATGACAACCTTACTGACGTTAAAATGGTGGTTGCGACCAATGGGTGTGGCAGTTTAAACACTCAACAATTCTACCGAATGATAATAATGATAAAGTATCTAGAGTAAATATGGATACCTTAGTTTCTTTTCATAAATCCTTTGATATTACTGAAATAAGAAGATAACATAAACTATTCACTGACAATACACGGCACCGCACAGAGTAAATGACAGAAAATGAAGCCACAGAGTGCAGCACTATAGAGCCGCATTCAATGATCACTGACCTGATATTTTGAGCAGTGACGTACCCTCCTAATTCTACTTGAGATGATTAGTTTACAGTAATGCACCAGTTTTATTTTTTAGATAAACTAAAGCTACAAAAAATAAAACTTTACTAATTAAAAACGTAAAAGATAGTTGGAATAAACATTCTCCAACCCAGAATCGTACTTGAAGATATTTATTTAAAATATTGATTGAAATAAAAATTAATAACGATGTAAAGAATAAACTATAAATTACCCAGAATTTAGGTAATATTTTTTCTAATCACTTTCTTTGTTAACAAAGTTAATGAAAAGTTTATTTATATTTCTTCTAATTGGAAAATAAATTATTTTTAACAGTCATGAACTTCAACTACAGCAACCTGAGAGGAAGGAGTAGATAACTAAAATTGATTTTAAAATCCGTTTAAACTTTCACTTTGAGAGCATAACTTATCGAACCATAATGATATTATATTTTAATTTGTTGTCCATCTGAGTCGAATATAGCCAAATATCTACCAACCAATTTATCATCTTGGCTAAGTTTCTGAACTCCTCAATGATATTCCCAAGTGGAGCCAAAGGGAGGGGGGAGGTGAGAACTTTCGGCCCTAAGTCCTCCAAAATGGAAAAGTAATTTTTATTCATAGATTCATGATGAATGTTTGTCTTAGTGATCTGATTATTTAAACAATCAAAGTATGTACTCTTTTAAAATTATAATGCATGTATTACAGCCACAGGCACAGATTCCTATTTTGATAAGGGGGGGCATGGTAAAAAAAAAAAAAAAATAAGTCTTTTTATTACGTGTAAAAATTCAACATAATTATTATAAAACGAATGAATATAATATTGAATATTTAAAATTAATTTGTTTATATGTTTGTAAAGTTGTACTATTTTTACTTTAACGTGTATATTTATGAAATACCTATATACAGTATTACGATCATGAAAATTTTAGAATCTGAGTTTTCAACGGGTATATATCTTTTGAGGTCTCCTGAGTCCAAATAACAAAGTCTCGCCAAATGGTCTGTGTGTGTGTATGTATGTGAATTTACAATTTTCATAAACATAAATCTAAATATTTTAGAGTATATATTAATTAAACTCAATACGTCTGTGTATTATTAAGTGGTTATTAATTTAAGATAGGTTTTGTCCTCATCCTTGTCAAAGAGAAATGGAGTGATAATTCATGATAATAGACGATGAGTTTCCTAATATAATATAAAAAAATATTATGGTGACCGCCACTAGCGAATTCTACCAGGGGACATCCTAGGCAGCCCTCCCTAGGATGGTGGAAAAAAAAAACGAATAAAGTGACAAAAAAAAGCTATTTAAAGAAAAGAAAAATGTATGAAAAATTCATCCCCATACAAGGATTTCCTAATGTGATATAAAAAAAAAATATTATCTTGACCAGCACTAGCGAATTCTACCAGGGGGCGCACCCTGCCTTGGATGGTGGAAAAAAATATCGAAAAAAGTGACAAAAACACCTTTTTAAAGAAAAGAGAAATGTAGAAAAATATATCTTCATACACGAATTTCTGGATGAAAAAAAAAATTATTATCGTGACCACCACTTGCGAAATCTGCCAGGGGTCTCGCCCTCCCTTGGATGATGAAAAAAAATTCAAAATAACACCTATTTAAAGAAATGAGAAATATAGGAAAAATTCATCCTCATAGACGAATTTTCTAATGTAATGTAAAAAAAGTTACTATCGTGACCAGCACAAGTGATTTCTTCCAGGGGGCGCGTCCCCCTCTCGATGTTATAAAAAATAGTTGCGAAAAAAAAGATCCAGAAAAACATCTATTTAAAGAAGAGTGATGTAGTTTTTGGGCCGCCGTGAGATGCGAAGGCTTATGCTCCTTTTGCAGTTTGTTCCTATTGACTCCGAACTGAGTCTCGCAGGTGAAATACATGATGGAAGAAATTAAAAAAAAAAAAAACTTCATTTATTCTTTCGAATCACCTTTAATTCGAGTACAAAAAAATACCGGTTTTCTTCCGGACCCAGTTTTTACTCCGTTTCAATTGATCTGGACGCATTGCAACCCAGCAACTATAATCTCCTTTAAGAACCCATGCGAATCATAAAACTGGTCACGATAATAATTTGTATGTTTCTCATTAGAAAGTGTTGTTCTTTTATTAAAGTAGCTGCTGTTGGGAACGTTTTCATGAAGGAAGGTACTAATTATTTAGTCTCCGATTTTATTGGAATCTGATTATGATCGAAATCGGAAATCAATTTGAGTATTTTTTTCTTAGGGAACTTATTTCCAAGTTGCAGGCCCATTTATAGTAATCTTTCTCAAATTTTGATAATGTCGGTAAAATTAGCGTTCATTGACCGTGGTTATCGATCATATCACTTAATCAAATTATTAAGTTTAGGTATTCGTTCGACTCAAAATTTGACGTTCTTTAATGTCTTGAAGAATACGTTTTTCGCTTTAATGCACTGTTTAGTAGTAATACATGAAAAAAAAAAGATCAGATAAATCTGGATTTTTTGGCTGTAAAAAGTTTTCTCTTGGTGACCCGTGTTAGCAATTTATTTTTTTACATGTCTAAATCCATATAGAGGGTGTCCGTAAGTAGAGGGAAATATTCAAAGGAGTGATAGCAAAACTCAATAAATAAGAAAAAGTTATATAAACAATGGTTCGATTTTTAGCAGGAAAGTAGAGAATTAAAGTTTTGTGATTTTTTATATGACACGCTTTTTGTTGAATAGGAAGTGATAAAAAAATAAATAAAATAATCATTTAAGTAATTAATGATAGCTTTACTGAAAACTAATTATAATTTACTCTAAATGAAAATAGAGTTTGCATTTGTTAAAACCATTTAAAGTAAACTTCTGAGCGACTAAACTCAGCTAAGGAGTGGGGAGGAAATGGGTAGTGGCGGGGGAACGGGTAGGAGTGGGGAAAGCACGTGGTACAGAGGAGCGTCCTCCCTGAGGAAATCCCTGAACCCGCCACTGATCTGTACAAATGTTTTGGTCTACTATGTTGCATGGAATATTGTAATTGACCAAAGAAAAATAATTAATTCCTCCCTCAGATAATACATAGGATCTACTTATTTCCATATTGTTTTGCTATCCCTTCACTAAACAAATTGTTCTGCGAATTATTCACACAGACCAACTAATATTACGTATTTGGTTAGATCAAAAACAGAGCAGAGGGAAGACAGCCTTGTTAACATTATTACATTCCTAGAACTTTTCATCTAAAAATGAATAATATAAAAATATGGAAAATATCTTTATATCTTAGTATGTACAACCTCAAATAAAAATACAACGTTCACAGTCGGACTATGATTATCACTAAAAAATTTAGGGATGATTGAACAATTAAATCCTAGGATATGTTGATATACAGGGTGTTTCGTAATTTCACGGATATATTTTTGGTATGAGTTCTCTATCACAAAATAAACAAAAAAGTTCATATTAACATCTATCTCAAACTCATTTATTAAAGAGATGTCGAAGGTTAAAGATTTATTATTTATTATTACTACAACATTTAGAGTAACTGTTCAAAGGTGCCTCCCTTTTGTTGTATGTTACATTCAGCATGACGAATCCATACTTATCTGGCTCTTCGTATAGCATCAGGATGGTGCTTAATAGTTACTGCGGCTTCCACGATCCGATTTCTTAGCTCTTCTTGCGTGCCAACTGCTGCAGAATAAACCATAGACTTCATCTAGCCCCACACAAAATAATCTAATGGCGTTAAATCCGGAGATCGTGGTAGCCATTTAACAGGTGTGGTATCCGTTTCGACCAACCCATCGGTCTCCATAAGTTACATTGAAAAAATCAGTGACATTATAAGAAAAGTGAGCTGGAGCACCGTCATGCATAAACCACAGCCTTTGCCGATTGCCTAGCGGAATATCTTCTAGGAGTTTATAAAGATTATTTTGCAAAAAATACAAGTAAGATATACCTGACAGCCTTAGTGGCAAAAAGAAGAGGACGATGATGTTGTCGCTTAGAAAACCATACCAGACATTTAAAGAAAAGGTATGTTGGTAATGTCCAACAGCAGTCGTATGAGGGTTTTCTGAAGCCCAAGTATGGGTATTTCGAAAATTAAGAATCCCGTTTCCTGTAAAGCAAGATTCATCAGTAACCAAAATGCAGTTCAGGAAGTTAGAATCTCGTGTACATTGTCGAACTAACCACTGGGAGAAATTTCTGTGCTTGTTATAATCTTGTGGTAACAAATCTTGCCTGCTCGATACATGAAATAGATACAATAATTGTTGTTCCCATAAAGTTCGCTATACGCTGGGAGAGGAAACATCGAAACGACGTGACAATCTTCTGGTACCAGTAGTAGGAGATAACTGAACAGCATCAAGTATTTCTTCTTCAACGTCTGCAGTTCGTTGAAATCTTTGTCAACCGGCGTTTGCTCGTATAGGTTTTAGGGTACCATTATCCCTAAGGCGTCTTTCAATGGCCTCAAACGTTTTACAATTTGGTGTTCTTCAGTTGGGACATTTTTCGCGATATCTTAAAACAGCAGCAGCACCGTTTCTATACCTAGCCATAAGTTAAAGGCATGTCTATTTGTTCTGCATAAGTGAATAAATTTATGGTGTCTCCCATTATGATCATAAATTGAACTGTGTCACAGTATTCACTCACACTAAAACACACAGAACTAGACAAACAGATGAGCAACTACTGTCATTCCTTATCATTCATTTGTTTATCAGGTGATTAAAACCTGTTATTTAGTATTAAACACGTTAAACTTTGTACAGTCAGTCTTAATGTAGTAAATATATAATAAATCTTTAACATTTTATCTGTTTAATAAATGAGTTTGAGATATATGTTAATATGATTTTTTTTATTTTTTGTTAGTGAACACATATCTAAAATAGTGTGGTGCAATTATGAAACACCCTGTATATCATCTTTGAATATAAATGACAATTTAAATAAACATTTAGGTA